TTGTCAATTTGACATACTAATACTTAAAACCTAATCGTACTTATCAGTAACAACCGTATAAGTTTTTTCCATATTAATGGTATGCACGGGAATCAAATAAAAAGCATTTTTACTTAAGAATTAGTCACAATTATCTTATTATCGATTTAAATCACCTTATGCGCATGCCCGATCCACACTCCACTCCGCGATCTCCGAATGGTCAAAGAGGAACTTTTATTTTAACTCCTTCCGTACCCGAACGCCTTAGGTACTTTAGGAGTGAATATAGTGAAAAGAGTGCGTAGACCGAACTCACCTTAGATTGATGTTACCAGTTAACGAAACAAACTCAATAACTAGAACAGTAATCCCAATATAGGGTCAATGACCTATTTGACAAAAGTCGATAATTAAGTTGTCGTATAAGTAACTAAATACATACATTCTTGTCTAACCAGATCATGTGTCGATGTATTTTGAATTTTTTTGAATGTTTGTAGTCGCACCATACCCCATATACTTATAATTTAATGTACTTCAGTTTAATTCTCACCAGAGTTTAACATTGGTATTCATAAGTATATTCATAAAATCCAAATTAATAACAAATATTTATTACATAGATTTAACTGCAGTAATCTCATTTCATATTTAAAACACATGACTACGAACACGTATATCTATTCAAGCAATTAATTCAAATGTAACATGTCGCCTTCCTATTAGTTATGACCCTTACGAGCCGAGCCCTTTTACCTGGAATCAGATACCTCTTCTTCAACCGCGGTGTGATATTTACTATACTAGCCGCTTTGTTCGAAGCCGCGTTATATTTACCATCATTTAGCGAATTAAATAATTATTAATGATTGACAGGTTATTAATGATTGATAGGTAATTAATGATTGACAGGTCATTAATTATGGACGAGGTGATTAATGATTGACAGGTAATTAAAATGATTAATGACCTTTGGCGGCATCATTGTCGGCATCATCAAAGGAAAATTTGGTTCCCAGGCTCAAGTGCCTCTATACCTACTAAAATAATTACGCTGGGCTCACTTAAACCTGGGAGAAGTTTTTCATGCAACCATTTTACAAACATTTCTGTGTTCATATTATCGTGATAGTCACTGGATTTTGATTTAGATGAAAATATTAAATCAGCACCTTCTATAAAACCCGATTTCCCTCCTGCATGTAAAATTATGTGTCGCTTCCTTTCTCCATCGGTATGTTTGATGCACTTTACGTTATCATCTTGCCATATTCTCTTGGTTGCACCCCTAGAAAATACCATGTTTCGTCTAAATATATAAAATTTGCCCCTTCTTCTGTAAATTTAGAATATTTTCTTAGAAAGTTAATTCTCTTGTGCAAGACAGAACTTCTTTCACAAAGAGCCTTTCTGTTATCCTCCTTTTGAAATTTGAAACCCAAGTTATGTATCACTTGCCATAGACTTGTTCTGCCAATGTCGTCAAATTGTCTATCTATTAATTCCGAGAGAATTGTATTTAAGGTCACATGTTCCTTGTTGGCCCTCATTCGATAAATGGTATCACGAATTTCAAATTTCTTTCCATCTGGAATATCTTTCGTTTTCAATGATGGGCGAGTTTTGCGGTAATCTTCTTTCGGCAGTTCACTATTGTGATTTTGTAATACTCCTCTTAATTTGGTTTCACTAATTCCTAGAGCATCGCATACGCGTTGTTGTACAGACATTACCGATTTTAAAGGACCGCCATTTTCTTTTTCATCCGTAAAATACTTATGTACACTACAAATTAGACTATCTACATCTAACACACGTCTAGGCATTTTTAAAATTTCCACTAAATTTACACTATACATACAATGTCAACACTTGCAAAGAATCAATTCAACTGCAATATTTGTAACAAATTTAGTACCTACCCTAATGTTATTTTAATTTAAATCTGACCATTAGCGAACAGACTGTACTAAATAGCTATCAAAAAGTTTGTAACACATTTGTCAAAATTATGACTTCATTATCCTTATCTTTATTGGTTATAAGCAGTTAGGGTTAGGTTTGGCCCAGAACACTGTGGCCTCTTTATATTTAAACATTGACAGGCTAACAAGAATATACTACCCCACCTGCCCTACAAAAACTAATTAAATAGGTGCTACTGATAAAAAATATTAATGAATAAAAGTGTACAAGTTTAATTTGGCTGACAGTATAAAAGTTCAAATCGTACTTGCGCAATAGTGTTCCGTATCGTAGTTGTTTTAAAAGAAGTTGATCGGTACGTTGATAAATACACGTACATTAATAAGTGTAGTCGCAGTTTAAGAGAAAACTTTTGTAATGTTTGTAGATTCATTAACAATTTATTCCAAGTTGTAATGTACTTGTATTAAACTATGAGACAACAATTGATGTAAAAGTGCCATTGGATGAAGTTTTTTCTAAAATTTCTCAATCAAAAGACAGTTTTTTTGTGGTCCGGATGGAGTTCCATCTTACTTTTTAGAGTTTTGTGTGTACTGTTAGTACCTCTAGTTTTATTATCTGTAATATTTCATTTGAATCAGGACCATTTGCGGATTTTTGGAAATTCGTGTTATAAATCGGGATGTACCTAATCGTTACATAAAAAAATCTGATGTGTCCAACACATGACTTTCCTATCTAGTTATTACAGGCTTTTTCCGTTTATTGTGTACAACCTATTGCAGCATCTCTATAAATGTTTAGAGGATAAACTAAATATATATATATATATATATATATATATATATACATTGTCCACATACATCTACCGCGAAACATTTTTCTATAGATATTCATTGAAAATGAAAATACTGAAAAATTTAAATTTAGCACTTTTCCTACAATTTTTCCATTACGGTCCATTTAAAAAAAAATCATGTATGAACAAATATTATAGAGATCGAAATCGCAAACAACTTTTATTTCAACAATTTTCATAAAAATCAGAATTTTGCACATTTTGTCAAATTTCTCGAATACGGACCATTTCAGGAAATTTTTACATAAGGCAAAAATTATAGATAATAATATTAGAAGTAACTTTTATTTGAACAATTTTCTTCTCCAAACATAAATAACAGATATATTCCATAAAATATATAAACGGCCTCCCATAAAGTACCCCCCAGATGTTCCGACTTTGTCCAAAATCTAATAATTTCACGTCAGGCCAAAATAAAACTTAAGTTTAAAATTTATTGATATTTTCTTTATCCGTTTTTGAGTTTTCTTCAAATTTCGAAATTTACACATTTTCTCAAATATCTCGAATACGGTCCATTTTAGAGAAATTATCTATGGGACAAAAATTATAGAGAATTATATTACAAACAACTTTTGTTTGAACAATTTTTATAAAAAAAAATATTTTTTTACATTTTGTCAAATTTCTCGAATACGGACCATTTTAGGAAAATTTTGTAAATAACAAAAATTATAGATAATAAAATAAGAAGTAACTTTTATTTAAAAAATTTTCTTCCCCAAACGTAAATAACAGATATATTCCATAAAATATAAAAATGACCACCTATAAAGTACCCCCCCAGATGTTCCGACTCTGCCCAAAATCTAATCAGCTCATTAGACGCTGGAATAAAGCTTAAGTTTGAAATTTGGTGTTTTTCCGTGTATCGGTTCATGAGTTATGCGTTATACAGACACACACACACACACACACACACACACACAGACACACACACACACACACACACACACACACACACACACACACACACACACACACACACAGACACACACACACACACACACAGACATCATCGCGAAAATAGTCAAAACGGATTCAGGGGACCTCAAAACGTAAAAATCCGTCGAAAACTCGAGGTCGAAAAAAATCATGATTCCTATACTTTCCTTATATCTGTATACAGATAGGAAAGTAAAAATTATAGAGAAACATATGTCTGCAATCTACTATTCAATTCGCTCATTTCTGAATATTTGTCGTAGGAGTCTAAAGGGCTGAGGGCTGATTATTGATCAACAACTTTTTCACAAGGAAAATCTACAGTAACTGCCATGTTAAGTAATCAAAAAAAAAAAAATTATAGAGTTAAGGCAACGCTAGAAACGTATGCGTATCTCTCTGACATAAACGTAAAAATTGAAGATACGTTTAACGTGTAATCTGAAAGAAAAAGATAGTTAAAGTAAAAACATTGACGTGAACATATCTACAACTTTATACCCGTAGGTACTTTTTGAGAAATTATTGTTAGTTAAAGAGAGAATTTTGATTTTGGGAAATTTTAATGACGATGATGCTGTAAGGTTACAAATTCTACATGATGTAAAAAATTTGGAAAATAAAGGTATTTTGAATTAGAGATTCAATTTCATTAACCTATTTGAAATTGAATGAAAGAGTTTCTTTCGATTAAAAAGAGCGACATAATTAGACTTGTTAGGGCTCTTTTGACATGCCAAATATGATTACAACAAATGATTCTAGCAATTGTTTTCCGAAATATTTTTTGTGCATATATAAATTACAAATGAATCTTATTTCATAGTATGCTTCAGAATTTGGCAATACATTACCCTAATATATGCCCATAACATAAGTTATAATCTGTCATTCGTTTTATTAATCGGGTGCGATCGGATGCTCCCAAAGTATTTGCTCGGCTCGATACGAATGCGTATTAGGCATACGTAAGAACACGTACGTTTACGTCAGACGTAAATAGATACTTATTATGTAAAAGAGCTGTTGCGCATGCGTAGCTGTCATTAGATTAGATACGTTTACGTATACGTTGCTGGCATTGCTTTAACTCTCTATTGAATGTCTTTGAGAAAGGGTATCAAGTACATTCTGTCTAGACTGACTCCTCAAAAGCATATTTAAGATAAATTATTGTTGATTGCCAAGTTGATCAATGGTTCTTCTATAAATGTTCCTTTTTGCCAAATATGGTACGGAATACTATGACCCAGAATTGGTATATTTTAAATTGTAATCTTACTTCGTTTAGCATGGGCATCAAACAGCAAAGTTTAAATTCTTGATTGTCCTTCATGAGGTTTTGAGGTATGTTATAAATGGTTTCTACCGTAAAATTCAAAATGGCCGAATCGGGAACTTCCAAATGATCTTCGGTACATAAAGTAATTGTAGCCTTAGGATGAGATTTATAAGAAATCATCTTTTCGTCGTCGTATTCGACTACAGGTTTTATTAAAACTGACAGCGACATATTTTTATTGCCTGGGAATTAAATTACATATTATCTAATCGCAAGTACGCATATCTATTTGAATTGGTTATAAAAGAAAAGACATAGTGGTCAAGCCGGTATACCAAAGGTGATAGGTTCAAAACAATTTTTTTTATTAAATTTACACTTTTAAGATTATGAGAACATTATGAGTCCCGATTATGATGATCTCAACGTCGTTTTCTTAGGGTTTTTGCTTTATATAAGGCCAAAAACTAGTAATCCTATTTAAGTGTAACTTCTGTGTGGTTTATAAATTTTCGAAAAGTGCTAATAATGAAATTTGGTATGCCTATAATTTAGAAGTTAATTACTGATTAAATTATTATCTAGATTCCAAGTTTATCGATTTGTTGATTACAAAAAGCTGAAACTAGAACAGTTGTAACGGTTGGAACCGTTATTCGTTATTTCAACACAATCATCTCTTACCACATACTTTGATTTTCTTTTACTATACGGAGAATGGTCGCACTGCGCAGCTTTCTGAGTGCCTTTTAAAAGGAGATAGAAAACTCCGCCATTTTGAACCCTTATTACGTGTTGCCTACATCTTGGCGCAATATTTTTAATAGCTTTGTTCGCGGAGCCTGTCGCCGACAAGTCCCCGACAGATACACATGCGCATTAGGATTTTAAGCGTTCGCGGAGCAACAAATCCGGGATTTTGACAAAATGTCCTGCGTTCGCGGAGCACTTATCAATGGTACACGACAAGTTACCGACAAGTCAAAACTATCAGCAAACATTAGCATGGACAATTTGTCAGGACATGCGTAGTAGGTACATGCCCTGGTAAACAGAAAAGGAACGGGTCAAAGACAAAGACGACAATTGTTAACATTGACTTAACACAGTCAGTAGGTAGCAGTATTAGCCATTTTTGTTCAAAATTCAAATGAAACAATTAAAACTCTACAATCAATGTAAAAAAATCGAATTTGTCAGACATTTGTATATAACCATCTGTCATCTGTGTAATTACAATTCTTCTTTTCTTATAAAAATCAAAACTTCCAAACGCTCAATTGCAGCTAATTTTGTGATAGTCATTTTTGTACACAAGTCGTTCGCGGTGATCTCTTGTCGGAGATTTGTTACCAGTCGCAGTTGCGCACAAACGTGTCTGATTATTTATCAGGGATAAGTCGTGTACTTGTCGGCGACAGGCTCCGCGAATAAAGCTAATAGGTGCGTTTTAATCATCCGCTTCTGCTTCGGAATTGCCAGTTTTCTTGTTTTAATCTGACAGGAAAGTATAAGCTATTTTTGGCGTGCTCCCGTTGATAAACAGTGATACAGAAACCGTGACATGTCAAATGCCCCCACTATTATGTCTCGGTTTCTAAAAAATTATTCGCAAAAATGAACCGGTTTACGTCAATCGTCAACGTTTTAGATAAACGAGGTTATGTTATGTGTATTTAAAAGGTATTTTACAATAAACAAACTGTGAAAAATCTAATATTGAGGAAGACATACAATTTTTCTTTTAAATAACAAATTTAAATAGAATTTAGAGACAGTTCAACGAAAACTATTATACATAAAATAAAAATATGAACGCACAAAATAAAATGCAACTCTGACAGCTACCAAAAATTCCAAAACAAAACGGTATTACAGAATGCTATGAACATCAACTGTCACTATCAACCGTTTGTTCACCACCTCAAGAGGCCGGGAACAGATTCATCACGGCGGTAGCAAACAATGACGTCAGTGAATGACGTCATTACACTTCCCCTTGAGCGGTTCATGTCGCGAAAATGATGCGGGTAATACCGTTTGATCACCGGGAGTTCGCCAAAAATTGGTATATGTGATTAAAACGCATCTGATATTTTGCTTGCTGCTGTCAGTGTCAGTGAATATTATTTTTGAAGTCACAGTTTATTGCTAAAGAATCAGTTAGCTCACTCGGACCAGTTGAAAGTTTAAAAATAACATCCACTCCAGGGATACAAATTCAGGATACGCAGAAGACTACTGTTTTATTATAGGCGGTTGTCATATATTGTATTACCTGAGTTGTACAGTGTATAAACTGAAACATTGAGATCCAAAGTGCCGACGCAGAGTGAGCGATCTGATTCTTTAGCTGTAAACTGTGTCACAGGGTTCAAAATGGCCGCGCCCTATGTTGGGCGTGTCGGACCTCTCTCTTGCCTCGTATAGTAATCAAAGTATGTGTCCACAAAGCATGTATCTTCTAGAGACCCCACGTCAATGTTAAACTTTTAAACCAAATTAGCGCCACCTTGTGTTTGGAGCTGGAACTAAAATGACAATTGACAGATGGCGGTAAATTCAAATTGTAATTTTTAGGAGTAGGTAGTAGTTTTAAATTAAATTTTAAATGATTTCCACATAAATTATTTTATAAAATAAAGTATGGAACTGGTAAGTTCGAAACTTTTATTTTACAAAATAATTTAGGTCGATTATACCAAATTTGAAGAATTAATTTGTTATGAGGGGTCTAATGTGGAGAGTTGGTTCTGCATATTTTTATTAAATAAATATAAGATATATCAATAAATAATAAAATAGAACATTCTTAAAATATGTTTATTAATAACTTAAATAAATATTATTAGATAAAAATAAATACAAATAATAATAATAATAATAATACATATTTAACGAATACTTACTTGGAGCAAATAGATATATAATCTCAAATCTTTAAAATACCTACCTATCAATAATTTAAATGTGAAGTAGAGACTAGGATATTACATTTTATTAACACTAAAGTTATATATTTTATAATGTCTTTTTAACTGAGGACAAATGTAATATAGGTATTGTATTAAAAGGTGAATCCTTTTAACTATTCATTCAATGATAAATAGGTATTTTCCTTCCAAATACAGATGGTGGTATTACTCTCTTATGTGAAAAATGATTTCAGAATCTAGTCCAGTGATAAATTGATTATCAATTAGTTGTTGTCCCCGTTTGTCTTTTTATGATGCAGATGCATGGTGAATATATGGTGAATCAATGAAGTTTTTCTCGAAGTTTTCAACATAGCACCAAAATTATTGCAAAACACAGTAGGAAATAAAAAAGCGAAACATCACAATTTTGCAAATAACTAAGACGAAACTATAAACAGAAACCAAAAGCCAAAGCCAACAAAAAATCACTAAAATCAGACGGAAAAATGAAACTAACCAAGAACATAAATAAATACACGTCACATCTTTGGAGTCTTTGGTTAAGTTTTTCTCCCATAAGGCTTAAAAATGGAGTAAGAAATCATAATTTCACCAGTAGCCCCATCTAGAGTTTGGAGCAAATAGCATAAAAAATGTCAGTTGTCGGTTTTGACCTTGGTCATTCACGTGGAACCTCTATGTGCTTTGTGTATGTGTCTCTTACTCAAATGTCATTTGTCGTCTTCTTCCTTTATTTGTCTTGTGAGAATTATTTTTGACTTGGATGTCAACGAATCAACTTAAATTTATTTTTTAAATTATCTTGGTCATCCGATGTATCAAATGATTTTTATCTATCATAAAATCCGTCTGATTTTATAAGGTAAGGTTTAATACTAATATATTATTAAATATATATATTTTATACAAGGATTTCTTAAATAAATTGTCAAGTTCCGAACATAACCTCAATACCTATCAACAATGAGTAACACACATGGTTAATTTATATATTATTTTTTTTGGAATAAGATATTATGCTTTACTCTGTTTGAATGTATTAAATAAGATTTTTCCTTTTCATATTAATTTTAGTATCTGTGAAATTATTCATTTAATAGTTTTAAATTGTTCATTTAATAGTTAAAGCATTTTATCTAAATCCTGTTCAAATTTCCTATTTCCTGTCTCCATTTGAACCCTTTTTTAGCATGACTATATCTAGACGGTTTTGAATTCCTATCAAGATGTTTTATGGTTTTTATACCTAGAAGTTTGTTTAGGTTTTGGTACAATCTGAAGACCGTGGTTTGATACATCTCTAGAAGATCTAGACAGTTTCGAGTTTAAGTTAGAACACCAAATATCACGAAATCATTCACGTTGCAGAATTACAAATAAGGATCCCGAATCCCTTTGAAGAAGTTGCCTGAAGATATACCATGCGATAAAACATTCCTTATATTACCTCCATTTACCAAAAGATAAGTTTTATTTAATAAATCATCTTAAATTTGAATTTAGTAAAACTATGTGAATTAGAATTTGATATATACCTTATCTAAAGCATGGTTAAAATATAATTTGTTAGTGGTTAGTGATTTTCTATATTTTTATCACTAATCTAAACTCAAGTATAGTAAACTTTAAATGAATCGGTGAGTGAAAGAATTTTAACTGAGATAGGCAAATTGTTTAAAATCCATAGGCCTATCACATAGCGAAAGAATAATACACAGACCAACATCATACGAGCGATGGGGGCTTGTTCAATTTTTGGTTGAGTGAAAGAACAGTACAAGTACAGCGCATGTACTGTTTTTTCACTCAGTAGCCATGTCGTTTCGTAGACAAATTTAACACAGATTTCAAATGGTGGTCGCAATTTCATAAAAAAACCTCTAAATCAGCTGATGAACAAAAATCTAATTTTGTCATTCCACAGTACAGCCAGTTTACATACACTGGTAAAACTTCTGGATATGTTACTACAAGTGCCTTCATAGGCGGTTTTCTCTCGCACACTTTTATGTGTGGGGCGCATTAGACTGATATCAAACCTAATGCCAATCTGCAGTTACCCTTATGGCGGGCATACACGCTACGGTCTGTCTGTGCAGGTGTGCCTGCACAGGTAGACATGCACGCTACGACATGAAGCCGACCTGCGCAGGCATATCTGCACAGGTAGGCCTCTCCGGTAGACCGTTACGTGTATGCTCGCCATTAGAAAAGGCATACTCAGAAGTTGTCCCTATTAACGTGAAGAAGATAGCGAATATAAAGATACTTTTATTTTACTTTAGTGATGAAATCCTAGAGTTTTACTACCATATATTATTTCTTGGAAAGTCAAAAATGAAGATTCTGATTAAAACATTACAAATAAGTTTGTTAAATAATAATCAATAAAGCTACAAAAAAAAATTAAATCATTTTTTTTTAAATTGAGTAAAAGAACAGTATAACTGCAAGTCATTTTTTTCAAATATCATATTTTGCATAATTTTATTTTTAAATTTATGTACGTATTATTATCGGTTAACAAAAATTCTATAACTTCACAATACATAATTAGGCCGAATAACCCATAGTTTTTCTTTAAAACAGTTTTTTTTGTTTTTCTCAAAATGGTCATTTTGGATATGCATTGTTCTTTCACTCACCGATTCAAATATAGTGGTGCTCAACTTCTCTTTCAAAGTTATTCGAGTTATTTAATAACCTAACGCACGCCCAATCAATTGAGCTCAAACACATTAAACAAGTAGATAGAATAACTAGACATCACGTTACAAAAATGGCGCCCAACGTGGGGCCATTTGGGTATTGGGTCTAATTAAATCGGTTTGTCTAAGGTAATGTCATCTATGTAGCCGTTTGTTACCTTATGAATAGATTCGGGAAAGTAATATTTATTTTTGTTTCTGGAAGCAATATTTCTCCACTTTAAATATCTACTGGAATTTTATTGAAAAGATTTAAAAAAAGTATGTCTAAGTCGTATTGTTTTAGTGTTAAAGTTTTCGTACTATAATTTTATATAGCGCAGAATTTTTCTAAATCGTAATTACCTAAAAGAATATCAAAATCTTTACTCCAGTCGGCAATACGTGCGTCTATACATTCGTTTATATCAATTTCTTTAAATAATGCGGTTTTATATTAGAAGAGTATTTTGTGTTTTTTTCATGGACGTGAGAGGAAAATCTTTTTTATACTTATGAAGGGGATTGAAAAAATTAACTACAGGCGTTATTACTTGGTCGTGTAGGTAATAGCAGAATAGTAAAAAGCCAGATACTAATTTTTACTATTCTGGCCTGACAATAAATATGAAAAATTTAGTAATATTTTAACTTATTAAAAGGAACGGTATGGAAATCAAGGAAATTACAGAATATATTATTTACTGTCAGAAGTATCGTTATTAACGTTAGGTATGACTTCATTATCATCATCCTCAGATAAATGTAAAAAACAATATATTAGTATTAAAACTTATAAAATTTTATGATAGATAAAAATCATTTGATACATCGGATGACCAATATAATTTAAAAAATAAATTCAAGTTGATTCGTTGACATCCAAGTCAAAAATAATTCTCACAAGACGAATAAAGGAAGAAGAAGAAGAAGAAGAAGACGACAAATGACATTTGAGTAAGAGATGATTGTGTTGAAATAACGAATAACGGTTCCAACCGTTACACAGTCTGTCAGAATTTTTTAAGTATAAGATTTATAGTGTTCACTAATGAATGAACTGTTCTGAATAGTTTCCACTAAGTAGAGCAAAATTAGATAAACTGTTATCAGTGAATCTTAAATAAATTAGAAGGAGTAACAAGACAGAAAGTACCATACTATCGTGCGAGCCATTTTCGACTAGTCAGGTCCAGCGGTGGAACTAAGTTCATACTTTGAAACGATAGTTGAAAAGCGACCCTCTTTGCGATAGTTAAGCGAATTGGTACCATGTTCACAAACATTGAAATAGGTATCGATTTCATCTTCGGATGAATTCGGCGAAAGGGACATTTTTCTGTCAAAATCACGTCAAAACAAAGGGAATTTTACTGTTTTAAGTAATTGTGGTAAATATTGCCAGTTGCCACTTTGAATTTGAAGTATAATCATTAGATGTGCTCTATCTTGATTTCTCAAAAGCTTCTGATAGTCTTAATCACCACCTTCTTCTGGACAAACTAAGATGTTTTGGCCTAAGTCTATCCCTACTTTTATTCTTTCAATCATATTTAGAACAACGCAATTTCTATGTAAAACACTCCTTTATGCTGATGACGTAAAGCTTTACAAATAAATTAAATCTGAAAAGGATGATATTGCTTTACAACACGATTTGGAAATTGTTTCTAACTGGTGCGTGGGTAATTTCTTGAAACTAAATATAAATAAGACTATCCGTACTATTTCGACTACAAAATTACCTAATAACTATAAAGTGCCGAGAGTTGATATTTTTAAACCTTTGACCGACAGCTTTCGTTTAATGTTCACATTGAAAATACAGTCGTTTCAGCTAATAAAATGTATGGAATGATACTTAGAACATGTAAGGGTTTTACGGATATAGATAGCTTTATGCTTCTATTTAATGCATATGTTAGAAGTAAGCTTGAATATGCCTCCTTAATTTGGCAATATCGGGTATCCACCTTTTGGCCTTCACTCATGACATTTTACTTAATCGTTATTCTGTTATTTCTATTCAAGATCGTAGATATATAAATTCTTATACAAACTAAGTTCCAAAATAGACTCTTCTGAAATCTTAAATGTAATTAACTTTCGTGTTCCACGTAAAAATTCTAGACACTCAGCAACATTTTACTTACCCACTCCTAAGACCAATATTTTAAAATATTCTCCTTTATATTTTATGTGTGATAATCACAATGCGTTGCAAGATAACACCAAATATTTTAATATTTTTAATTGTTCAATAAATGTAATAAAAAATAGTATAATATCCTAGAATTATAAAAATAAGCTTTTATTTACAACCATATATGTAATGTTGTCATTACTAACGTTATTAAAGGTTGGGAAGTGTCACATTACACACCTCTACTTCCCGCCCTCACTTCCCGCCCTCATTTTATCTATTATTCTAGATGAATATTTTTTATATTAAAAAAAAAATAACACATTTTTTGACAAATTTTATAATACCTATTTAATGGCAAACAATAAAAAACAACAATGAACTAAAATATAACAAATTACTTATTGATATTTATTATTCGCGAATTTAATATCCGGCTTTATCTGACATTTATTTATATTGGTGACAGTTGGTTACCCCGTAATCACAGTAACAATAGGTTTGTTCCAACAACAATCTTGGAACCATACACAAACCAGTCCACAACTTATTGTCGACGACTGATAGTCGACGACCAGTCCACGACCTGTCGATGATTAGTACTGAATTCGGAACTTGGTTATGTTGGAACACATGTTTCTGTTGTCAGACTCACGGTCAATAACGTAAAAGTAAAATAAATAACACATGTTAAATTGTGAATTTGGTAAATAAATAATTTATAAAACTCATTAAAAGAATTATAAATTTTCATTATTCGATTGGTTAGTAAAACCTATTTAATTGTTTACTGTATCTAAGTAAGAATAATGTACTATAATGATAATGAATAAAAACGATGATGCTATCAAAACGAATATAATCACGACATTTCCAGAGCTGGTCGTAATTTATTTACGAGCTCACTTTCGTTTTGCGCATGTCTTGACAATTTGTTCCTATTCAGACCCAGGAACTGATTTGACAGTACAGAAACTGGTTTGTGATTAGGTTTGAGTATGTTGGAACACTAGGTTTTTGTACAGTTTTGAGTCCGAGGTTTGTTGGAACACCAAATCTAGACTGCGCAGAATCCCGACAGTACGTAAACCGATTTGCTATTGTGTTGGAACAAACCTAAAATATTTACCTACTTGATTATTTTGAGAAAACTGCGCGCTTGGTAATTTGTCGTTAAATGTAATATTTTAGGCATGTTCAGAACAAAACAGAGATTTATTAACTTTGATCGAAATATGATGGTTGTAAATAAAATAGTATACAAACTTCGGTAGGAAGTTTCATTCCTGTCTCGAGATCATAGCTAACCTCGACGCATCGCGTCTCGGTGATCTAATTAATCTCACGACAGGAATGAAACTCTTCCCACCTCGGTGTGTAATATACTATTAAATATCCAGTGTATGTGTATAAATATTTATTCTTTATCTATGTGTATAAACTAGTTTTCTGTGTTTTTTTGACCTCCCATTGTTTTTTTGATTGGTCACATACATTTTAATTAGTAATAGTGATATAATGTATTTTTTTGTTATTTTTTATATTTGCTGGTCTTTTTTATACTTGTTTACTATAGTTTTATTTTTATTTGTTTCATCAAGTAGGTTTTAAATGTATTTCAACATTAAAATTTGATTTTTCTCGAAAACGGTCGACTTTAGAGCGTATGACCAAGAGTACCTTTGTTGTGTAGAAAACATTGGCGGTTCAAATGGACGTCTCAAAACCGTACTTTTTCCAGTGGCGTAGACATTTTTTTTTCAATTACAATACCTTGTATCTCGAAAATGGTGCATTTTAGAGGGTAAGTTAATAGAAACGTTTTTTCATATTTTTGGACGAGCTATCACGTCCTGAAGTACTGCGCATATATTATGAAACACCCTGTAGAGTAACGCATCAAACCAAACCTAAACAGCAGCAGTTGCGCAATGTCGTCAAAATATTCAATTATGCCAAATATCAGTTGTTAGTCTTTTTATATTGGATATTCCCCAAATTTGATAATGAAATTGGCCCTTATTGGTTAAATAAGACAATGTTAGGAATTTTATTCGTAAACTGCGTTATTGCTAGAACTAAGAAAGTTATTGTCTCGTGAAACTTACTAACTAGGTACATGGTACATAGGTATTGCAATAGTATCTTACCAAAAAGCAGAGGTAAAAAATCGATTGTACATATACCAAACATTATAGGCTCGCAAGGTATAATCGGACTTAAGGAGCCATTAGATTGTCTAAGAGATATAGAACTAGTTTTCTTGCAGTTAATCGAAATTTTACTGGTGGAAGACCTCTTCTCCTTCGGTATTAAAGTTTTCGACTCTTTCTTCGATTTCCCCATTTTATCTAGAAACCAATATAAATTAAACTAATTGTTCTCAAGAGATGTCTACATCTACTCGTACTTACCAGAAACTTTGATACTAGAAGATCTGCTGACGGCTGGTACCTTGACCTTGCTCTTTCTCTTCACCGTTGGTACATCGCCGGTACTACCAACAGTTTCGACGTTGGTTTTTGAAGATAAAGCTTCGTACAAGCTAAAGATGCTATCGAACGACCTAATTGGTACCATGGAGTGAACTAATTCGTTGATATGTAATTGAGGGTATATATGACGATCGTAGGTGCCTTGGATTTGATAAAAGTATACTAAAAATTAAAAAAAAACTTGTTGTCCGTTCGTCTGTCTGTTACGAAATTCGATGCGTTCGTTCTCCCAACCCATTGAGTTTCGAAACTTCCAAAAAAAAATTCTCTGTCAAATAATGACGGAAAATTTTAAATTTTCATTCGGAAAAGTGGTTTTCAGACTAGACTAACTTTTTTTTCGACTGCGGATTTATTCGTTTCGGAAAGTTTCCTTTGGTGGAAATCTAAAAAAATGTTTTTTGTTTCCCAAATTTTCTGAATTTTCGAGAAAAGCAAAAAATTCGAGTTTCCTGCTCGACGTTTCTTACAATCTGGCATAACAATTTCCCAATATCTCGAACACATTCCTCAGGAAAATTAGAGGAAAATTTGTTAAGAAAGACTTTGCTTAAAAAAGGAAATATAACAAAAAGAATTCAACCTGACGAGACTCGTTGATTATGTATCACATGACTGGTTTTTTATGACCGAGGGAGTGGGAAATCAAAAAAATCCGCGAAAATTATCGATTTTTCAATAATTTATGAAAAATGTAAAATAAATTCGTTTTAAAAAATTCTCTATTGGATGGTGGTTTTTCACCAAAACTTTGGGGGTTGCAACGTGTTGTCTATTACGAAATATGATAGGTAGGTATAGTCTGTTGTAATTCATAGTACGAGTAGAAAATCGTCTCGCTTTACACATGAAAGAAGGTTATGTATTAGCCGGAACAGGGACGGTGCTAATGGACTTTAAAAATTTATGTTTTCTGTTTGGGGAACAAACATGATAATATTAATATTTCGTAAGAATGTTTGTTAGATTATATTGTGCAATAAAAAAGGTTAATGACTATGAGGTATCGGAAAAAAATAATTGATGAATTGAAATTTAGTATTTGAAATATCTCAATATTGCATGTTTATCAACATCAATCAATATTAGTTTATTTGAAAACAATTTCATAAATATGAAGTAAACAATACATATTATGTCTTATAAATGAAAAACATATGATATTGAATCCCTTAAGGAAATTTTCAAACTTTTTCGCAAAATCAGTTGATGTCCGAAGATTTTTGTGTTAGGGCTCGTATAAATTCGGGCTTATAGGGTCCGAACTAATCTATTGAATTTCGCTAATTCTGAATAAATAAAATTTTTTTTTTCGAATAAAGTCTGAAAATTATAAATTTTCCTTCAAGAAAGTGATTTTAAACCAATTTTATGGCGTAACCAACATCTTGCTTTTATTCGTTTTATGAAATTCCCTTTCGTTTTCCTAATTTTCCGACTTTTAACACACATTTTTCTGAAAAACTAAAAAGTTTCTTATATTACTCGAAGTTTCTCACAATTTGGTATTAAAAAATGTCTGATACCTTAAACACATTTTCCAGGAAAATTAGGGAAATATTAGGGTGAGACGCTTTTCCGGGATAAATTTTGTTTAAAACAGGAGACGTTAAGCACAATTTACAGGTTCGACGAGATACGTCGATTGTTGTATCATATGACAGGGTTTTTATGACAGGGTGAAATAAAAAAAGCAAACATTTTATTTTTTCACTAATAATTCATTAAATTTTTTTAAGATTTTGTTTTTTTTTATCGGATGGTGTTGGAAAATTTGAAATTTATTCTGTTTTCTCTGTCGAATCATGTCAGCAATTTTTAAGTTTGATAATTGCATGACATGAGACATGACCGAGGACATGACTCGCTGAAACCTTTCTTAAAAGATTAGATAGAGTAAAACGAGCTTGAAAAAAGTATCAGGGTTTTTATGACAGGGGAGACGGAACTCAAAAACCACGAAACTTATGTCTGGCTTTTTAACAGAAATGTAAGAATAATGTAAAATGAGAGCTTATTGAAATATCTGTATCGGGTGATGTCAAAAAATTTAAAAGTGGTTTGGTGGTCGCATGAGATGCTACATGACTACTAGTAATAATATTAATCAGTTGTGCTTCATACATAGACTGTTAGATAGTGACAGGTTTAGGTGCCCCATTTTCGCATACAAGCTTCGAAGAGGATTGAAAAGTACATAGATTTTGAATAGAATGAAAGGAAATTACGAGTGGCTTCTGGAAATAACATATGGAAAATTCGATTTTCCTTAACAGAAATTATAGGTATTTTTCTACGTTCATGCAAAAAACAAAACTTTATTGAACTATATTTAGTGAAAAAACTGGTTATTTATTGCACTAGTGCAATAAAAATTTTAGTGCACTCATCTGTCATTTTACTACAGCGTTTTATGATCATGACAAACATAAATATTCAAATCGACGCCAAATATTTAGTCCATTTTCATTTTCTGTGAGATTATATTACGTTTTAAAAACAATTGCATATTTTATAATATTTTCAATCATTTAATAAATAAATTAATAAAAAATGTATTTTATTAAAAATGTCATTACAAATTATGAACACAACGTAAATAAATGCCTCAAACAAAGGTACACGATCACGGCTACTATGATTTGGATAATACAACTGCAGTTCTAGAAACGTCAGTCAAAAATTAATTCTGACAATTAAGTACATGAACGTAGAAAAAATATTGTATGGAACTCGTGCAAAAAGTGTTTATTGCACTCGATGTGCAATAAACACTTACTTTTTGCACTTGTTGCATAAATAACTATTGTTTCCCAAATTTTCACGCAAGCCGTGTTCACTAAATGATTATCTAAAAGAACTAGGCTTCGGACAGTGTTGCCAACCGGAGGGAAATATCCTGTTTTGCGAGAAATTTTAACACAAACGGGAATTTTTTACTCCAGTTTAAATTGTGAAAAATGTATGATTTTAAAAATAAATAAAATTAAAATAAATAATTCTCTGATGTATTTTTGTTAAAAGATTTATATTTTTTGATTATACTTTTTATACTTTGTCATGTACGTTCGTTGTTCTTTTAATAAATATTTTTTTGAAAATATGTACATATTTGTATATCTGGTATAAAGCCGATTATTTAACGGGAGGTAATTTTTTCATAAAAGTGGAAATTTTTAAGATATGTAGAGAGAAAAGCTTACTTCAAGGTTGACAATACTGGCTTCGCAAAAACCAAAGGTTTTTTTACACAAGCGCATCGAATGTATGAAAAGGTACATCATCACTAGTCTGAAAACATATTAGTTCGAATGACCCGAATGAATAAATGCATTTTATGGTCGGAAAATATTTATGTTAAGGAAAATAAAATTTTTCATGTGTTATCCCCAAGAGCCACTCGTAAATTTTCTTTCATTCTACTCAAAATCGATGTACTTTTCAACCCTCTTCGAGGCTTGTATGCGAAAATGGAAATATGTCACTATCTAACGGTCTATCATTTGGTCAAAACTGTAGATATTACTTCTCTGGCCCTACACGAAGCGATCAAGTTGGCTCCATTGTGGTACTCAAAGATATTGCTGATAGAATAGATACATTTTAGACAGACACAGCGGTTCAACCGCTGCATTCAATGCCGCGGTTTTGCGGTTCTAATTTGGTGGCCAAAAGTAAAGCAGGGGTACAGAATTCATGCTGAGAAGTACACCGATAGCATCTATGGAAATAATTTTAAACCTCCCACTCCTTGTCTTAGTGAATGAGTGCATATACAGACTGGATTATAATCCAACAATTGAATCCCGCTGGGAAATATAAAACACCAGAATAACACATAAAGAAAATGAACCCATATTTAATAAACCTTCAACAAACTCTTCCAATTTGCAGCTGGAAAGAGTAAATCAGAGGGATGGAGAAATACTTGATTAGGGGTCCCGTATGGTATATGGATAGATTCAAAAGAAGGAAGGGAACAAGCTCTGGCGTACATGAAGTTAAATCCAAATGCGACATAATTGTCTAATTGGGAAAACATTTATCACTGTATTCTAAGACAAAATACATAAAATTGATTTGTATGTAAGATAGAACCTAAGAAGGAAGCAAAAAAATAAACCAACTTCATTCTTATACACAGTTAAGCAGCCTTAAAAACTCTTGGTGTAAACAGAATAAACTCAAAGCTGGTCTCGAACTGACTTGGAATACATCCACAATTAGGTACGTGGGTGGGTACTAGGACATACAGGTATCCAAGGAGGAAATGAAAATGCTGATGAATTCGCCGAAGAGGGATCATAACTAACACTCTCAGGACCCGGATCTGTGTTTGGGATAAGCAAAACCTCTTCTCTACAGGCAGTAAACACCAAACCCGCTGGCAACAGATAAGAGGATAAGAGCCCATGTACAGTCGCCGCACGGCTGCTGAGATACTACAGCTATCAAAGTCTCCACCATTGTGAGGCTATTAACAAGGTACTGGTTGCTAAAACACCTTCATGAATGATGTAATTGTACAATGATCCCTCCATGGGTAGAGAACGAAATCTCATAACACGTTATCTTCATCGAATGCAAAGCTCTAGCTAGGCAGCGACACACCCTTATCGCCATAGAACCAAAAAGAGGGCCCTAGAAACACTTCCTAAAAACCTAGTAAAACTAGCCAATAAAGACACATCACTATTCAAACGAATATACCTACCTGATCCAAGAGGACGCAGTGTTCTGTGCTTTATCTAACGTTACCTGTTTAAAAATATTAAGGCAATGGGCTACATATAGGTATCAGAAAGTGCTGCTACACTTACAAAATGCTGGAAACGTAACCAAATTATCCATATCTTTTAAGTGGGTCCTTCTAATTTGAAATTCGAAAGTATGCATTATTGGAATGCTATGGGCGTCTGTTATAGGTACGGGTGTGGATTCTCCAATAACATTATCTCCAAAAACGCATTTTGCTTGGATATCCGAAAATTGAAAGAACGGTTTCTGCAAAATGCAATAAATGATTACAAAGATTTAAGATAAATAATTATACTTACTAAGTTTTGGCAACATTCTAGTGTAATTTTAATCTTGGCATGTTTTTCTCTAAATGTGGAAAGATTCAGTTCGCGCATCATAGATGTTCTACTGCGAATAACAGACTGTAAATATATACCAAAAATGTTATTTTAAAATTTACTATTAGTATTTTAAAAAACTTACGTGTTTCGATGTTATAGATTTAAAAGTACTACTCGGTTTTGATTCCACTTTAGTTCCCATCTTTTATTTTTTTTATGAAAAAAAATTCTCAAAATTATCTTTTAAAATTAGTACGTCACATAAGACAGATTAGCAGGTTATTTCTATGGTAAGCAAATAATGAACCATGGAATAAATATAAGAAACTTTACATGGGCGCCGCTAGATTTTTTTCTGACTATAATAAATTTGTGAACCTACCCCAGTATACTCTTCTAGGGCCTATCCTTTTTACTTTCCTGTCTTCCTGTTTGTATACAGATAAGGAACGTATAAAGGAATCGCGATTTTTTTCGACCTCTAAGTTTTCGACGGATTTTTACGTTTTGGGGTCCCTTGAATCCGTTCCGACTATTTTTGCGATGATGTCTGTATGTGTTTGCATACTCAATAACCCATGAACGGATAAAATGAAAAACACTTAATTTTAAATCGGATATATCTGTTATTTACGCTTACAGAAGAAAATTCTTCAAATAAAAGTTGCTTGTGATATATTTCTCTATAATTCTTGTCCTATACATGATTTCCCTAAATTGGACCGTATTCGAGATATTTGAGGAAAAGTGCAAATTTCCAATATAACTCAAAACGAATGCAGAGAAAAACAACAAATTTTAAACTTATTTTTTAATCCATCCTGCTGTGAACTGATTAAATTTTGGGCACAGTCGAAAAGCATCTGGGGGGTACTTTGTAGGGTGTCGTTATTTATGATTGGAGAAAATTCTTCAAATAAAAGTTGTTTGCGATATCATTTTTCTATAATTTTTGTTCTATCCATGATTTCTCTAAAATGGACGGTAATGGAAAAATTTGAGAAAAAGTGTAAAATTTTATTTTTTCACTATTTTGGTTGGCAATAAATATATACAGGGTGTCCCGAAATTAGACGGTCATATTTTAACAGAATAATCTACATCCTATAATAATAGTAAAAGTTCATAAAACATAGGTTCGAAAACGTTTCTTTTCCGAGACACAGGGTATTAAAAATGAAGTCCTGATGACACACTTTGTAAATATTTTCTACATGTTTAAAAATAACTAAGTGAAATTTGGTACAAATACTTACCTTTTTACGCTCTATTTAATGGACCAAACCCCAGTTTTTGATCATCTTCATAGGTGGGTAAATTAGGAGAGGGGCTTAGGGTAAAATTTGGAAAACCAATGTTTTCTTTATAATAAAGCTACTTTAGTTGCATCTCGCTAGGAAGCACCATATTCAAGAGAAAAGCATTTGAAAATTTCATGATAAGTTGATGTTATCTTATTCGAAAGTGTAAACAATAATTAGTAGGCCTGTGGAATCAAAAATTTTATTTTTTTTTTAACTTTGGAAAACCGGTGACTAAAGAAATTTTAGAAAATGTTTACAAAAATGTGCCTCAGGACTTTACTTGTAACACCCTGTGTCACGAAAACGAAACGTTTTCGGAGCTATGTTTTTATGAACTTTTACTATTTTAGGATGTAGATTACGCTGTTAAAATATGACCGTCTAATTTCGGGACACCCTGTATATAAAAATGTACCGAGTAGGTAACATGTTATTTACAGGGGTGATACAATAGATTGTAAAAAAGCCTTAATAACTAGAAAGGAAAGTCATGTGTTGGACACATCAGATTTTCAGTTTAATAGAAAAGAAGTCCAGTCCTTAATTACTATTGCGTGACACATATCCAGTGGCGGCTACTGCCATGGTCCCAGACAGCACACCAAATCCTTTGGATATCTACTGAACATCCCAATATCCACTGAATGTCCAGTCCATGGTAGATATCTATTTTATATCCATGAAATGTAATTTATAGACATGCAAATGTCCATCAATAATAGTAATTATATAGCAAATTATTAAAAAATTACGCCATTGTGCTCGCCATTGTGGCTAATATAGTACCGTTCAGATATTTAAAATTTATTTTTTCGTACAATCGCACGCGAAGTCAGTATTTCGCGTTCTCAGCACAGTCCGCGAAATTTAATTTCGCGGCCGTTACCCATAGCAACGGCTGCGAAACCAAACGTCACTTCCAAATTTGAATATCACTTCCAAATTTGACATTTCTAAAATATTACAAAGACAAGGATTATTTTTTATTGAATACCAACAAATACATAAGTACTTATATTATTTTGGATGAATATTAACATTAATTGTACAGTTTGTATTATTACTTATATTTACTCCAGAAGTTGAAGCAACTACATCTAGTGTTTCTGAATAATGCTTATTGCCTACATTCAAACCAGATACTATATCGCCAGAAATTAAGTTGGAAATTTGCTTCTTATTTTCGGGTATTAAAACGGAAATCGCCGAATTTACAACTCTCTTGAGTTTAGGAGGAGTGGAAGGTACTGAAATATTGCTATCAGTATCAAACATTTTGCGTTTTGTCAAGAACTGTCAAAATATTTTGTATGTATTGAACATTTCCATAGCACACGGTGACATTGTTAAATAAATTGAACTGCTGTTGATTTTAGAGCAATAATATATTTATTTACAATTATCTAGTTTAATAATTTTAACGATTGCACGAAAAATAGTGTATATGCCATGGCCGCGAAACTTTTTAACGACCTCAAGATTATCTTGCCTCGGCCGCAAGCGGCCTCGGCGATAACTATTCTTTCGGTACGTTAAAAAGGTATTTCGCGGCCTAAGCATACAAATAACTATTATCTCTACTATTTTCTTTCGACGTTATTCAATAATCATTGGTTACTTATGAACCTCTACTAAAGATACCCACAAAATATTTTGCTGAATATCCGAATATCTTCTATATCCTGGGATATAGACGGACATTTGGTTGGATATCCATATTGGATATATTGAATATCCACAAAATATATTCTGTGGATATCTCTGGGATTTCTTGTATTTTCTGGAAGATACCCATTAGATATTTTGCTGAATATTCATTAGGATATCTTCTATATTCTGGATATAGACGGACATTTGGATATCCATATTAGATCCACGGAATATTTATGATATCCTGTGGATATATTGGATATCCACAAAAGATATTCTTTGGATATCTCTGGGATTTGGTGTGTTGTCTGGGGTACCACGATTTTGCGAAGTGCAAACCAGTCAAAATAAATGTCCCATGGTGAGAATTTAGAACTATGCCCACTAGTAAAACTCGAATATAATTGCAAGTTTCACAATTTCGGCGAGCTGCTGTCTCTTTCTCAAGTATTCTAGTTTATATTTCATACACTGAACAATATATCTCTTAAAAGCGGCAAGAGAGTTAGCGTTAGAGCGAGCAGGAAACGAATATCAGCGTTGCTAGTTTATACCACCGTTACAACACTGATAATATTCGTTTCCTGCTCGACCCAATGCTAACTTGTGCAAAGCGTATTTTAAAACGTTCAGTAGCCGATAGTGTATACTGAAATCTTATCGTAGGAATATTATCTTTTGAGTTGAAGTATACACTAATGTATTGAAGGCTTTTACCCAGACAACACACCAAATCCCAGAGATATCCACAGAATATCTTTTGTGGATATCCAATATATCCACAGGATATCAGAAATATTCTGTGGATCTAATATGGATATCCAAATGTCCGTCTATATCTTCGAGCATTATGCTCGAAGGTCTATATCCAGAATATAGAAGATATCCTAATGGATATTCAGCAAAATATCTAATGGGTATATTCCAGAAAATACAAGAAATCCCAGAGATATCCACAGAATATATTTTGTGGATATTCAATATATCCAATATGGATATCCAACCAAATGTCCGTCTATATCCCAGGATATGAAGATATTCGGATATTCAGTAAAATATTTTATGGGTATCTTTAGTAGAGGTTCATAAGTAACCAATGATTATTGAATAACGTCGAAAGAAAATAGCAGAGATAAAAAATATTTTCAACACTCTGCCTTTGATTTTGCCCACTAAGGAGAAAATCATCCTTATTAGGACTCTTCAGGAATAAATGAAAATTCTCGACTCCAGTCTCTAATGGAGTGATTACGACACAAATTTCGATCGAACTCAATTACGGCGGGTCGAGAATGAGTAGATGCGATAGTAGTATCGCCATCTATACTTAGTAAGCAGAATTAAATAACATCTAGTGGATATCCACGATGGTTTGCGTTCGCGCCTAGACTTTGATATATTTAGTGGATGTTCATGGGATATTGAATACACCTTAAAAAAATTAATTTTAAATATCTGAACGATACTATTAGCCACAATGGCGTAATTTTTTTAATAATGTGCTATATAATTTCTATTATTTATGGACATTTATTTGCATGTCTATAAATTACATTTCATGGATACAAAATAGATATCTACCATGGACTGGACATTCAGTGGATATTGGGATGTTCAGTAGATATCCAAAGGATTTGGTGTGCTGTCTGGAAGATACTAATTAGATATTTTGCTGAATATCCATAGGATATCTTCTATATTCTGGATATAGACGGACATTTGGATATCCATATTAGATCCACGGAATATTTCTGATATCCTGTGGATATATTGGATATCCAAAAAAGATATTCTGTGGATATCTTTGGGATTTGGTGTGTTGTCTGGGAAGATATTTATTTCTTTGGTTTCATTTCCATTTTGCTACTGAAAATTTATGTAATTTACGCTGTTTTTTCTACTAGTATTTTTACAATTTACAATACAGCAACTGCGGTTGCTTTTTGTTTTTTGTTTACCAACTTAAAAAAAAAAGTAAAATGGATAGGTGCGTGTAAGATATGGATATGGAATAAATATATTCAACCTATAATATTCGTCAACTGTAATTAGCTTGAACATTGAGATTGTTGTCCGTAATTCGTGGCATTTAGATTACTACACCTGTCAAGTTTACCTATTTCTTCTATTTCCTTAAACAATTCAATCAATTTAAAGGCTACTTAACATATTGTCTTTATTATTATGCGTGCACGGGGATAATCGACAATATGAGCCAGTGCTAGTTGTGTAATTGTGTTATAGTGGATTTTATTTGTTGCACTAGGTGTGAGTTTTCTGCACTAATCGCATTTGATTTGTTCAGTGTAGCTTCAAATATTTGACTATAGCGCACATGTAGCATATACTTTAGACAAGTATGACAGTTCGAATACAGTGTCGAGTGTAACAGTAGTGCAACAAATAAAATGCATTATTAGTTACGTAGTTTGACCATATAGAGCTTTGGCAAACTGAGTCGTACATAGTACCTACCTAAAAAAATATTAGTAATGCATATATTAAGGCTGTATGTTACGATTAATAAATTAAGTACTAAATTTAGAACTAGATTAATGCATTAATTTGCATAACTGCAAATTTAGTATTAAATTTAGTACCAAAAAAATTAATTAAATAATTTGAACTTGTTCTATTTTCTACTAAATTTAGTACTAAAAATGCGTTGAAATGTTGCGCAGAAGTTTTTCTCAGAAAAAGTAGACACAACGGTTTTTTCTGTACCATTTTGTTTTTGGTTAGCGACAACTTTGCATTATCTCTTTGATAAATTTCGCTTGTGTTTGATTTTGTAGGTTTTATTGTTCTTTCGTGGGTTTTAGTAGCATGGCTGTGTTTGGTTGTTGTCAAGTCAACTATAGTGTCAAAGTCATAATAAAAATCTTTAAATTCACTTGTCTCTTTTACACAGAATATTTCATTTCTGTGCTAATTTCACGTAATAATACGTCAATGCGCGTACGCCTATACTTAATTTAGTACTAAAAATTGGTATCGTTGCAAAAGGAAAAACATATTTTTAGTCTAAATTTAGTACTAAATTAATTACTTAATTTAGGGCTAAATTTTAGTACCTAATTTAGTATTGTGACATACAGCCATTACGCGTTGTAAAGTCGTAAAAGCCAGAGGCGGGCAACTGCCCCCCCTTGCCCCCCCTAAAAGACGCCCATGATCATACCAAAACAAACAGGTATGAATTATACGTTAATCAAATACTCAAACATTCGAATAATCGTATACTCGAATAATCGTATATTCGAATACTCGAATATTCGTATAATCGAATAGTCGAATATTCGAATACTTAGAAATATTCGAATAGTCGAATACTCGAATATTCGAATACTTAGAAATATTCGAATAGTGAATAACTTGGGTATTCGAATAAAGTTTCAAACGAATATTCGAATACAAAAATCTGAAAAATTCCGAGCCCTACCTAAAACCATTTGTGATTATCTATAATAAGATATTAACATCTAACTCGTACCATAAAGTATTAAAATTAAGAAACAGTTTAAAATTGAGATCAAACAGCAATTTTGTGAAATTTCACTAAGCTTTCTGAAATTATCCTGTATGACCTATTTTTTTATCCATGCTGATTGTAAAACTTTATCAAAAAGGTGCTATCAACAGTTTATTGTAAATTCTGAGTCTTCTTTAACAGACAATAGAAACATAAAACAGTTTTGGAATTTTGGTAAAAGTAAGCGGAACGGGAATGATTTACCACCATTGCTATTCTTTAACGATAGTCAATGTCACTTGGGACCAGATTTACCTGATCTCTTTGCAGAACACTTTCAGTCGGTATGTACTGATAAGAATATTGATCCTCAAAGTAAACCGTCACTTAATCACATTTCTATATCCGAGTATGTTATTCCTATATCAACCATTTATGTAGAGATGGCTAGTATTGACATTACCAATAAGGGATCTGGGTGTTATTATGGACTCCACCCAGACAGCACACCAAATCCTTTGGATATCTACTGAACATCCCAATATCCACTGAATGTCCAGTCCATGGTGGATATCTATTTTATATCCATAAAATGTAATTTATAGACATGCAAATAAATGTCCATAAATAATAGTAATTATATAGCAAATTATTAAAAAATTACGCCATTGTGGCTAATAGTATCGTTCAGATATTTAAAATTAATTTTTTTAAGGTGTATTCATCCACTAAATATATCAAAGTCTAGGCGCGAACGCAAACCATCGTGGATATCCACTAGATGTTATTTGATTCTGCTTACTAAGTATAGATGAGTAGTTATCCACGATGGTTTGCGTCCGCGCTAAGACTTTGATATATGTGGATGTTCATGGGATATTGAATACACCTTAAAAAAATTAATTTTAAATATCTGAACGGTACTATTAGTCACAATGGCGAGCACAATGGCGTAATTTTTTAATAATTTGCTATATAATTACTATTATTTATGGACATTTGCATGTCTATAAATTACATTTTATAGATATAAAATAGATATCCACCATGGACTGGACATTCAGTGGATATTGGGATGTTCAGTAGATATCCAAAGGATTTGGTGTGCTGTCTGGGTTGTGACTTATTGATAGGAAACCAATTTTAATTATTAATTTCTATGGGTTCTTTCGAACTAAAACTGAAGAAAATATAAATTACAATCGCAAATATACCAATTAATTTTGTTAATTTTGTTTTGATACTACGTTATTATGTAATGTTATTTTCACATTATTTAACCTATTCTTCAATGACAACTTATTAAGCTTAGGCAAAATATTATACATTTTCTCGTAAATTTTGTTGCCTGTCAGTTTTATTATTGTTTTTTATACTACTTTTTTTTAGCTGAAGTAATAAAAATATATAATAATTAATTTTTCTCTCGTTTTACAAATCCATAAACTTTTATTAAAATCAACATATATATTTTTTTAATACGAATTCTATTAAAAATTGTATTGTCAGTATACGCAAATATCTTCCGTTAGTTCATAAATTTGTTGGCGCTGCTGTCACTAACAGAGCGAATAATGAATGAAAATAGGCTGACTGGGCTTTGCAAGATGAGCGTACATCGAAAAATAATCGCAAAAAACTAAAAAGATTTCATGTTTTCTGTTATCGATTATTTTTGGTAGAGAAAAAAGAAATTAAAAGTTGCGTTTTCCTAGTGTTCGTCGACGTGTTTGAGTGAGTTTTTTATGTTTCTGTGTTTCTATAAATATTTTATTTTTTTTTATTATTATGTATTGCTCTGTCTTCATATTTTTCTTTTAAATTATACCTTCTGTTTTTAAAAATGTGTTTTAAGTTTCTTTTTTTTTATTTTAGTTTTTGTCTTTTTTGTTGGGTTATTTTTAACCGACTTCAAACAAGGAGGAGGTTCTCAATGCGTCGCGATACTTTTTTTTATGTCTGTTCAGCGATAATTCTTTAACACGGTGTCCGATTTCAATGATTCTTTTTTTGTTAGAAAGGGGGTACTTCAGGGGTGGTCCCATATATATTTGGTCAAAATCTAATAATTGGGTCCATGAGAAAATCCTCAAACTCTTCATTTTTATGTATGTTTAGCGATAATGCTTTACCTCCTTGTCCGATTTATATGATTCTTTTTTTGTTAGTAAGGGGGTACCAAAGGGGTGGTCCCATATAAATTTGGCACGTTTTTGAAGTCGGTTTTTTTAAATTTTTAATTTCTAATACTTGTATTTTTTAGAAACTTTTGTTAATTTGTACTGCTCCTTTATTTTTCATTTTCTTTGTTTTTCAACAAATAACCATTCTAAATTTTTTCAAAATTTTGCCCCTCCCTATAGAAATGTGTAACGACGCCCATGGGCATGCTTAGTTCTTAATTGATTCCACAAATTACTGGTATTACTTCTGTGTATGACATTGTAAGGTATTAATTTACACTACACACGATTTTCTTTTTTATCGAAGTAAAGCCAAATCTTACTGCGTTCTGAACTCATATTTAACATCTGTATCGGACAAACGTTGACTGACAGACATACACCCACTAATATGAATAAAATAACTAGTAAGTTATAACTTAACAAACATAAACAAGCATGTGAAAAGTGCGAATGTGAAACAACGTTGGGGTTTTTCTCATTTACCAAATAAAACGCCAGCACTACAAGGAAATAAATAAATACATTGTTGCCGTAACGTATTAGTCCCGAATCTCAAGTCAGAATTTTGTTAGTCATTTTTCTTCTACCTTTATTTTTAAGCAATAGATAAAAAAGAAACATAAATTAGGTATATAAATTAATTCAAAATATATATCCGAATATTTGAACATTTACAGTATTCCGATATTTAATAGTAAAATATTCGAGTATCGAATATTCGACTATTCAAATATTCGAATAATTTCGATCTAAAAATATCGAATTTTGAGTATTCGAATTATCCGAATACAATTCCGAGCCCTATTTAGGTATTTACAGGTCCTTAAATAGTTATTGCTTTGAAAAAATTGGTTAAAAAAATAATAATGATTTTAAGAGCAATCCCAGATAGCATAGGACGTCCATTTAACGTCTGGACGTCCAGGACCAATTATGAACGTTTTAAGTATGTCCAGTTTAGTAAATCCTCGGGACGTCAATAGATATCCGCAGAATGTCAATATTACGTGCTTTACTATATTTCCATGGATTCACATTCGCATTGTATTATTATTTGGTTATATTATATAAAAAACATATATAATGAGATAATATAAATAATTATTAAAGATAACATTATTTTCACTAATTTCCTTACATCCTGTTATTCCCCATTCGAGCTTCTGAAAATGTCCATGGAATGTCCTTAAATGGACGTTCTTAAGACATCCTGATTATTAACAATGGACGTTCCAAAGACGTCCACGTCCGTGAAATGGGCGTTTTAAGGATGTCCTGAATGTCCAAGCGGGACGTTTTTAAAACGTCCATAAGACGTATTTGTGCTATCTGGGATTACTTAAATAAAACGCCAAAGTTTCAAACATACACTTTAATTAGTATATACTTTAAAAATAAACTTCAATATACCTATAAACAGACGTATAATTCGTAAATAAATAGCTGTATAATCCTTTTATACATATATAAATGACATTTTAAACATTTAAAGCTTAATCGATGAGACCTGGATATGTTTCAATAAAAAAAATACAATCGAAGAATGTATCAAGAGATTCTAAACTTAAAAGTAGATTGTCAATAAATTCCTACAAATAATAGGTATAAAAAAACAAAATAATGTTTAAAAAATATATATAATATTTGTAATCAGATTTATATTCGTATGATGTAAGTACTAGTTAACACCATAAAATAGTATTATACTTTTTTTTCAAATCGATAATTTAAATGAATCAAAATACTTATAGAAAATATTTATTTTCTGACCCAACGTCTCAAGAATGTTTATTTACGTATTAGCATTAATTTTATTGTTATGCACTTTAACAGGTTGACTAGCATTATTGACAGTACCATAATTCACTATTAATTCATCACAATCGTTTTGGTAATACCCTGGATTTGGCACGCTGTGCGCCCCCCTCTGTGATACTAGATTAGAATATTCATCATCACCTCTCGGAATGCTATACATGGATCTGCCTCTTATTCTCCTACTTATTGAACTACCTAAAAAACAAAGAATTAACAAAAAAAAATCATCTTGTCATTTTTCGAAGAAGACATTCTAGTAAAACTTACTGACTATTCCTAAATGTTCTCTAATATCAGTATGAACATCGGATATATCCCACATGGCCAAAAAAGCAGAACAACAAGACTGATTGTGACTGGGTGATCCAGGTGTGACATACTGCTCATACGAAAAGCTGTAATGATGCGCAATGGCAGCCAAGCACATTTCAATGCAGATCAGAAAATTTTGAAGCCTGGTCGAAAGGCTCAAACCATCGTCTGGAGTGTCCGGACCGGGTTTGAATATATTGAAGTAAACTGCTAGTTGAATAAGTACGCCTTGGCTGGAATAAATGTTACGTCATAGTAATAACATAATGATCTGTAGTCTTATAGTATTAATAACAAATAGACATATAAATAATTACAAAGAACAAGAATTGAAATATAGAGAAAAAAAATATAATGAGAAATCCAAACAAAACAGGTTATTGCTTAGCCAAAAAGTACTTTTTAATCTCAGTCTAAAGATATGCAATGATGCTTTCCAATTTAGAAAATAAAACTGATTATACATTTTAACAGCAGCTTTCAAACTTTGCAGTGGAATGATGAGGCATTGTAAGCATATTATGTCTAATATTAACATTATGAACAGATGTTCTGAAAATTAATTTCTCAAACAAATAGGCAGGGTTCCTTGTCTTTAATAGTCTATGCAAAAATATTAAAAGATTTAGTTGAGATTGTCAACTTTCTAGACAACACACCAAATCCCAGAGATATCCACAGAATATCTTTTGTGGATATCCAATATATCCACAGGATATCAGAAATATCCAGTGGATCTAATATGGATATCCAAATGTCCGTCTATATCCAGAATATAGAAGATATCCTATGGATATCCAGCAAAATATCTAATGGGTATCTTCCAGACAATACAAGAAATCCCAGAGATATCCACAGAATATATTTTGTGGATATCCAATATATCCAGTAGTGGATCTAATATGGACATCCAAATGTCCGTCTATATCCCAGGATATAGAATATATTCGGATATTCAGCAAAATATTTTATGGGTATCTTTAGTAGAGGTTCATAAGTAACCAATGATTATTGAATAACGTCGAAAGAAAATAGCAGAGATAAAAAATATTTTCAACACTCTGCCTTTGATTTTGCCCACTAAGGAGAAAGTCGTCCTTATTAGGACTCTTCAGCAATAAATGGAAATTCTCGACTCCAGTCTCTAATGGAGTCTGATTGGGATATCAATTTCGATCGAACTCAATTACGGCGGGTTGAGCATGACAACGAGCGAAAGTGGTATCGCCATCTATACTTAGTAAGCAAAATCAAAAATTACATCTAGTGGATATACACCATGGTTTGCGTTCGCGCCTAGACTTTGATATATTTAGTGGATGTCCATGGGATATTGAATACACCTTAAAAAAAATTTATTTTAAATATCTGAACGGTACTATTAGCCACAATGGCGTAATTTTTTAATAATTTGCTATATAATTACTAGGACTAATAGTAAGATTGTGTTCTTTTGAATATTGTAATAGAAATTGCAAATCTCTATTAATCAGATTGTGTATATCTTGAGGTTCGAAATAATTTAATAACTGGGTGTCATCACCGTAAAGTTGAACTTGGCTATCCTTAAGTACTTTTGGTAAGTCAGAGGTGTATACTAAGAATAATAAAGAATCCATTATGGATCCCTGGTGGACGCCTGAAATAATGATTTTTGATTCCGAGAAGTTATTATCAATCACTACCTTCTGAATACGATTCCACAAATAGGATTTGAAAAAAGATAAAACACTACATCCATAGTATTGAAGTTTTGCGCACAAAAGTTCGTGATCAATTAAATCAAAAGCTTTAGAATAATCCAAGGCAATTAGAACAACAGCAAATCTTTTATCAATTGCACGAATAACATTTTCACAGAGGTTTAGTATCGAAGTAGTGGTACTATGCTGTTTGCGGAAGCCAGATTGTTGTACAGGTAAGATTTTATGAGTAGTTAAATATTCAAATAACTGGTTATACACAACTCGTTCAAGAATCTTGGACATAACAGGCAATAAGCTTATAGGACGTAAGTCTTGTATCGAACTAGGATTAGATATTTTGGGAATAGGACAAATGACAGACACTCTCCAAGCCCTTCGAAAATAGCCACACTGAAGGCAGCAATCAATTATATGTGTTATGTGATCTAAAACAGTAGGTAGGCACAGTTTAAGCATGTACAAAGATATACCATAACTTCCGGAAGCATTAGAGTTGATTAAATTTATTGCGTCTCTGACATTATTTTGATTAACTAGGGTAAAATTAAAAGTATTGTTCAGGTATTTATTATTAGCATAATAATGAATCTTGTTAAAACAATTGAAGACATAAATGGATAAAGGGCCTATGTCGCATTTTTTAAAATAATGACTTTTTGTGTGTTAGAGGTTTAAAAAATAGTAAATAATTTTCCTACAAGTTTTCCGCAGAATCCGATAATAATTAAAAGAGTATTCAGAAAATAAAGGGTCTATGTACAAAAAAAATTGACAACATTTTATGGATAAAGGATCTATGTAACTTAGGATGGTTCATAGGCCTTATTTTTATTAGGCGCTAAAAGTTAAAGATAGTTTAATCATTGGATAAATAAATAAAATAAATGTTTATAGAACTCTTATCCTTTGAAAAGGTTGTTTTTGTTACATTTAATGCCAGACCGTTATCTTTACAATACTGGTTAAACTCACGAGATGCCTCGTTGCTACTTTGAGTGACCTGTTCAATTTGATCATCTGCCATTACAATATTGGTATCATCTGCATATTGAACTATTTGTTGAGAGCTTAAACAAAAATTACTTATAATCACTTATAAAAACTATAAAAAGAAGTAGGCCCAAAATTGAACCTTGGGAACTCCTATTGTACATGGAAGAGGATCAGATTTTAGACTATTTGTTACAATTACTTGAGTTCGATTTATTAAGTAAGACTGTATCCATTCATAAGGTTTTCCTCGTATTCCTAACCCATTCATCTTCAATAATAAAAGATTATGATTCACCATATCAAATGCACGGCTAAGGTCATAGAAGAGTCCCAAAATATGTTTTTTATCATTGAGTGCTTGATATCAAAAACTCTAGGCAAGCTGCAATTGCAGTAGATGTTGACTTATTTTTTCTAAATCCATTTTGAGTATCTGGCAACATATTAAAACTTTCAAGATAATTAGTGAGTCTAATAAAGTATGCTGATTCAAATATTTTAGTTATTTGACTAGATATACAGATTAAACGATAATTTTCTATATTAGATGCAGATCCCTTATTTTTATAAACAGGAATTCCTTTAGATTCCTTCATATTTGGGAATAATCCCGAAACAAAGGATTCATTAATCAAATGTGATATGGGTTCAGCAATACAATGAGCAACCGATAACAGAATTTTACCATTTATTTCGTCAATGCCTTCAGTAGGTTTAGAAGTAGTTTTTTTTTTATTATAGTGATGATTTCACTAGGAGTTGTCCATACAAAATTTTATCGTCAACCGTAAATAATTATTATTAATAAAGAAGGATATTATAACATCACATTTTAGTATGACAAAGTAACAGCGAATACAAAATAAATCAATTACAGACTATTTCTGGCAGACGGTCATGGTTATGTTGATAAATATTAGCGGCGAACTAAATATTTGATTTTTACATCGCTATGGTAAAATGCATGGCTTTATTGACGGTTGGCGATAAATATGTTTATTCAATGGCTTTGTTAAAATAAAATTATTGTACCTAAATGTTTGAAATTTATTGATTTATTGAAATTATTGATAATATCTAAAAATAGTAGATATGGGTAAAGGAAATCCTACAGAATTTCAAAAATAAATTCAATTTCCTTTATATTGCTTCCATAAAATACATGGTCTTCTGTTTAAATTAACACAATTAAATATTTTACTGCAATGAAATAAATAAAATTCCATAACTATTGGACTTGTATATTTATGCCAAAGGAATGTTTAATATGATTTATAGTTTTATAGAATAACCACCGGACTCCATCCCATTGAGCATGGTGCACATTGTAACAAATAATGGGTTAAAATTTGGAGTCCATATATTTCCCGCAAATAAAATTAAACATTTTCCTCTTTGATAAACATTTGGTGCTTTTGACATATATTTGATAAGTAAAAGGTTAATTTCTAGATACTTACAAAAACGAGAAAAATACGACAGCCTTGATGCACAAAAATTTCGGCAGTGGTTTCATAGGCCTCAACTCCGCTAGACTTGCCTTGTAAAACATCACCAAACAGTACATGGCCGTGAACTGAGACAGATTATTGACAGCCGTCAAATAAGGGAAAGCCACATTACCTTTGAATTGACCATCTCCATACACATCGAAGTTTTTACAAATACTAAAAAAATTTAAGGTCAATAAAAATTTACAGGCGTCTAATTATACAGAGTGGACCATTAAATAGTGAAATTATATATAATAATCTTTATTTGCCTCAATTAAAATTACAATATAGATTTAGAAAATATATACAAGTATATAAAAAATGAGAAGTAAATAAGTAGACACCCATATATGCATGGCAAATAGAGTGTACATCCACAAAAGCAGGCTTGTGCGTGAATTCAGTAGTTCATTTATCATGAAAAATAGATTATAAAAATTAAAAAGTATACATTTATGAAAAGAAATATTTAAGATTCACATAATAGAATTTTAAACAATTTAACTATAGAATATAATATAAAGGGACAATAAAAAAACAGATAATTTGAAAAAAAAGAAGTATTAGATGTTTAAAAATTAGCAAGTTGGCGCCTCTGTATAAAATCGCTATTTAAGCTGTACCGATTTTGCAGTATTTTAGAAATATGTAAAAAGTAAGTCCTATAACTTTTATTGAAAATAGTTTCTCAAATTTCTTACAAGAGAGATATTTGCCTTCTTCACACTAATGGGCCACCCTGCATGTTTTTTTGGTATATAAAAGTAGTAACAAACTTAAAAAAATATATTAGGTAATAAGATAACGTGATAACTTTATGTCTAAAATTTTAAGGATTATTAATAATTGTTCTTCTCGTGGCGCCCTATGTTTATAATTATTTTCCAAAATTAAATTTGATACACAACACAATACATAGCTTTACATATTGTTTACAAGAAAATATACTAAAATTTTAAGGACTAAAAATACTTGAGTAGACAATAAAATTGTTTTGAACCTGAGGATTCAAATAAACCTTATTTTTATTTAGATAAATAAAGTGTTTTAAATTTTACAAATTTGGTTATCACAAAATAGACTGTCACAGTGAAATTACATGTCCCAAATGCTACGGTCCTCACGAAAAAAATGCTTGTACATCTAAATCTTTGTGTTGTAACAATTGTAAATTATTTAATTCTAGATTTAAGTTAAAGATTAGCCCTGAACATTCCACAAACAGCCCTAACTATAGTTACTTATTGAACAGAATAGATAATCTTAAATCTAGGACGAATTATAGTTAGTTTTGTAAATAGTACCTTTTAATGTTTTCTTTATTCCCTAAGTTTGATATGTTTGTTGACATAGTTACATTAAATAAAATTGGCATAGTTTGCACGACAGAAACGTGGTTAGTTCATGATATTCCAGATCATGCTATTTATATACCTGGGTACATATTATTTACTCAAAATTAGTAAGTTTTTTTTGGGGTTACAAATCACAGGTTTTTATCAATTTTAAGATTAGACAGATTAATAGATAAAGAAAATTTATATAAATAAATTTCCATTTTTTTATCTAATAAATATTAAACTTAGTAATATTTTGTTAAATTTTTTTATATCATTTTAATAAAATTATAACTAGGTATTCATAGGTAAATTTTTATAAAAATAAAAAAATAAATCTTACAAAGAAATAGCAGTAGTTAAAGGCCTTACTACAGTATACTGTAATATTCCATGCTTGCATATATGAACAAATTCTCTGAAAAAAAAATATATAATTAATATTTTTCATTTAGTGTTAATCATAATTACAGTGTTATAATATCTATAAACCAAAACAAAATTGTTATCTGCCTGCAATTCAAAACAATAACTCAAATGTAAATATATTTTTAATATCTTGCATTTGGAAGTAATGACATCTTTTAGATTTATTGCCTATACAAATAATTATCTTTTTATATATATAAAATAGTTTGTCCTGACTGACTGACTGACTGACCTATCAACCTACAGCCAAAACTACTGATCCTAGAAAGCTGAAATTTGGAACATAGGTTCATTTTATAACGTAAGCATCCGCTAAGAAAGGATTTTTGGAAATTTTAACTTTAAAAGGGGGAAATTGGAGGAAATGGGGGAGGGAGCTTTTAATGAAACTTTGTTCTTTAAAGTTAGAAACATGAAAATTTAAATTACAGCTACTAAGCATAAATAAATAATGACGTGTTTCAGGGTTTTTGGATTTTCACATTTTAAGGGGGGGAAATAGGGGGTGAAAGTTTGTATAGGAGTATCGATTTTTTTTTGTTCTCTTTGAAGTTAGAAACATGAAAATTGGAATTGCAGCTACTGACTACAAATTATTAATGACATGTTTCAGGGTTTTTAGATTTTTACATTTTAAGGGGGGAAAATGGGGAGTGAAAATTTATTTAGGAGTATCTATGTTTTTGGTTCTCTTTAAAGTTAGAAACATGAAAATTGGAATTGCAGCTAATGAATACAAATTAATAATGACGTGTTTAAGGGTTTTAGGATTTTCACATTTTAAGGGAGGGATACGGGGGGTGAAAGTTTATTCGGAAATATCGAATTTTTAAAGGTAGGAACTTGAAAATTGGAATTGTAGGTTCTTATCATAAATAAATAATGAAGTGTTTCAGGGTTTTTGCATTTTAACATTTTAAGGGGGGAACTGAGGGGGGGGTGAAAATTTGTTTAATAGTATGTATATATTTTTTTGTTATTTAAAGTTTGAAACATAAAAATTTGAATTAGAGCTACTGATTAAAAATCAAAAATGAATAAATAATGAAGTGTTTGAGGGTTTTTGGATTTTCACATTTTAAGGGGAAAAAAGGGGGTGAAAATTAGTATAGAAGTATAAATTTTTTGAACCTTGGAACTTGAAAATTATAATTGTAGCATAAATAAATAAGGATATGCTCTGTGGTTTTTAGATTTTCGTATAGTAGTATCATAAAAATAAACTAAAATTAATAAAAATTAATAAAAATTAATAAAAATTATTAAAAATTAATAAAAATTAATAAAAATTAATAAAAATTAATAAAAATTAATAAAAATTAATAAAAATTAATAAAAATTAATAAAAATTAATAAAAATTAATAAAAATTAATAAAAATTAATAAAAATTAATAAAAATTAATAAAAATTAATAAAAATTAATAAAAATTAATAAAAATTAATAAAAATTAATAAAAATTAATAAAAATTAATAAAAATTAATAAAAATTAATAAAAATTAATAAAAATTAATAAAAATTAATAAAAATTAATAAAAATTAATAAAAATTAATAAAAATTAATAAAAATTAATAAAAATTAATAAAAATTAATAAAAATTAATAAAAATTAATAAAAATTAATAAAAATTAATAAAAATTAATAAAAATTAATAAAAATTAATAAAAATTAATAAAAATTAATAAAAATTAATAAAAATTAATAAAAATTAATAAAAATGAATAAAAATTAATAAAAATAAATAAAAAATAAAAATGAATAAAAATTAATAAAAATAAATAAATAAAAATGAATAAAAATGAATAAAATTAATAAAAATGAATAAAAATGAATAAAAATGAATAAAAATGAATAAAAATGAATAAAAATGAATAAAAATGAATAAAAATGAATAAAAATGAATAAAAATGAATAAAAATGAATAAAAATGAATAAAAATGAATAAAAATGAATAAAAATGAATAAAAATGAATAAAAATGAATAAAAATGAATAAAAATGAATAAAAATGAATAAAAATGAATAAAAATGAATAAAAATGAATAAAAATGAATAAAAATGAATAAAAATGAATAAAAATGAATAAAAATGAAAAAAAATGAATAAAAATGAATAGAAATAAATAAAAATGAATAAAAATGAATAAAAATGAATAGAAATAAATAAAAATGAATAAAAATTAATAAAAATTAATAAAAATTAATAAAAATTAATCAAAATTAATAAAAATTAATAAAAATAAATAAAAAATAAAAATGAATAAAAATAAATAAAAATGAATACAAATAAAAATAATTAAAAATGAATAAAAATAAATAAAAATGAATAAAAATGAATCAAAATGAATCAAAATAAATAAAAATGAATAAAAGTGAATAAAAATCAATAAAAATGAATAAAAATGAATAAAAATGAATAAAAATGAATAAAAATGAATAAAAATGAATAAAAATGAATAAAAATGAATAAAAATGAATAAAAATGAATAAAAATGAATAGAAATGAATAAATATAAAAAAAAGAATAAAAATGAATGAAAATCAATAAAACTAATAAAAATTATTAAAAAAGGAAGTCATGTATTTTTTATATTAATAACACGAATACATGCGAGAAAAGTCGCAAGCAAAGCCGCGGGCAACAGCAAAACAAATAAAATTACCTAATCAGATATTGGAAAAAAATTGTGTGGTTTCCTGGTTTAAATAAAATATTCACATACCTGCCCATCTCCCAATCTGGCAAACAACATAAAGGAAATATGTGTTTGACTTGTGGTTTTAGCTCTAAACTTGCTTCAAGATCCATTTCCATATTTAAATAATTCAAGAGGAATTTCATAAAATTGTAAATCACAAAAGCTTCATAGCATTCTCTCACACTATCTACATATACTGATTGTTTTGGGTAAATAAGACCCAGCCACTAAAAATAACATTAACAAATGCATTAAATCAATAAGTTACTTATTTTAAAAAATTTTATATTTAATTTGGAAAAGATAAATGGAATAAATTAAAGGAATTTCAAGTATATTACTTACAGCATTGATAGCATAAATTGGAACCATCCATAATATTCTAGAAAAAGAGAAAATATTCAAAATGTTCCAGTATTAATGACGAACATATTAATTTAATAATAAAGTTTAGTTTTACATACCTAATAACATGTTTTTGCAATTTTGGTTGTACATAATGAATAATATGTTGTATAATTTCCCAAAAAGACAACGGAATTGCGACCCAAACAAAAATACCTCCTATTAGAATCTCTTGATCATGTTTATTAAAACCATCCTCTAATGATTTTATTAAAAACAATGGGACGAAAACCAAAGCTGCTAATGCGTATAAAGTAATAAAAAGTGGTCTTATCCATAATTTCCACCTAGCAAAACACTCTATGCATTGTTCAAAACACATTTTAAGTTTCACATCGTTTGATATTTGCACAAAATATAATAACAATAGTAATAATAATAAAAAATGGTGTTTTGTTTTGACAAAGTTATAAATTTGACATTTTAAACGTCATAGCTGTAGACTCGGCCGACTCGGGTAGGTTTAAAACTAATAAACAAAAAAGAAGTAGAAAATTAAGCTTTTAGGCATATATTCGCGATAAATATTTTTGAAATTACTTGTAGAATCGAAAATTCCTAATCTTATTTATTGCTTTTGTCAAAGTCAAAAGTGTTTTGTTATTTATAACCTACAATAAATTGAATGTTTAACGCGTACAATTTTTCTACCGTTTCTACATTTAGGTTTTTTTGCAGTAATATGATTTTACCAGATTCGCTGTTATTCTGTATATCAATGCTAGATACAGGAGCCTTGTTATTTTTGTTAATATACTTTGTATCCTTTTATGACGTTTATAGTTAATTAATGTATTTATTCAATTTCTCCTTAACTGCACTTTAGGTAATAACACTGTCTGATTTAGAATGTGATTATATGAACGCTCAAGAATGCTGCTCAAAATTAAACCAATGGACAATTCCAAAATTGATTGCTCATGTCTTTTTAAGTACACTTCTATTTATCCATGGACATTTTGTTCTAACGTTTTTAAATTTACCCATGACTATGTGGATGGTTTATGAAATATTGACAGTACCAAGAGGAAATATGGGTCTGTATGATCCCACAGAAATTCATCAAAGAGGACAGATAAAAAAACATATGAGAGATTGTATGATATATCTCGGATATTATCTAATATTTTTCTTTATTTATTTGTATTGGTGAGTATTTCATTCTTTTAGGATTATATCTTGCACGTTTCACACTTCTTGATCAAGCAGTTTGGACTAAGGGTTGATTTTCAGGATATTAATCAATTAGGAACTTATATGTTTATTTCAAGTCTCGGAAATACCCCAAGTCCATATTATTTCTTTATTGTTTAAATGTAAAATGGATGAAACAAAAAGTTACTAGATTTTGGCACGCCGTAGTTTGATTATATTATTGTGTCAGGTAGCAGTTCTCAAAATAATTTGTCAATTTGTTAAAAATTTTGTATATTTTGATATATCAAAAGTTTTAATAAGTATTCAACAAAATGATGAAACGATTTAGTAATCAAAAACATTAAACCTAAACGTAGTTTAATATTTTAAGACACAAATCTATTTGTATTTGTGTAAACGCACCTTAATAAAGTTTATACTGCTAAGCAACAACTAAGCGCAACTGAAATAAGACATGTACAAACTGTATCTAAAAATGTGATAATCTTTTGTCAAAGGACTTGGAGTATTTCTATCAATTTATGTGTGCACTAGAACACAAATGGATCTAGTAAGTGACATTTATCACATTTTAAGTAAATAAAAGTTGTTAAAGTAAGAAAAATTAGTTTTGTAAGGATTGGAAAGATTATAATTATTTTTGTATTCCAAAATCTTATTCAAGTCTTTGACTTTCTATATCAGCTATAAGATAACCTTCTTTAAATTTTAGGCTGTCTTATATATTTTTTAAATTGTTGTTTGCACTTAGATCCCTTAACTTCTGAGCAGAATGGAAAATAAAATAACTATACAAGTTAGATGTATAGGGGTTCAGAATTAGAACTAATCATGCTTTATACCCTCAATATATGAAGCGAATAGGTATAATAATGATTTGTGTATTTGTGATAAGATTGCTGATTTACAACATATATTTTTGGATTGTATTCTAAATGATTTAGAAATTAATTTATTATACCAAAACTTAATTAACAACAAAATTCAGTTACCTATAAATTTAAAAAATTACTGACATTTGACAGTATATACAACATACTCTATAATTTCGTCAAAACACTCAAATTATAATTAGGAAATAGAAATAAAACATGTAAGTAGCGATGCTACCAATAAAAAAAATTGTACACCTGACTCGAAAAAATTGTTAAGTAAAGAAAAAAAAATAAAGACAAAAGAGAAAAAAATAAAAAAAAAAACAAAAATAAACAAAACATTTAAACCATATTAAGTTCAGGTTATTTTAGTGACTGGCCTGTTGATTTTTATCCAGTGCCACTAACTTAGTTAAAAAAAAAAAAGACAGTCCCCTAGGGTTCAAGAAATAAATCACTGGTATTTTAAGTACCACATCCGTATTTAACTGAATTTGTTCAAAAATATCACTTAGACCCCTTGTGTTCTAGGGTTCACATAATTATACTATTATACTTGTCATTTTTGGTAATTCTCATATTTATTAAATTAATATTTTTAGTCTAATTACGTCTCTACTAAAAGGTGATCCAATCAACAGAAAAGATGAAGGTGAAGTTATACATGATTTTTAAGTGTAAAAATTCGTCCGAAGTTTAATGTATTTGTCCATTACATATATTTCTCAATTCCTATAATGGATACTGAACTATTAAATGTGATATTTGTGAACAAAACTTTTAATTTTTAAGTATTAAACTCATTGAAATGTTTTCAAAAACGAGTCTGATATTATTAAGAGTAGATTTTTGTCTCTTCTTTATTAAGTGTATTAAGATTATTTATTTGATTTTTTTGAAATTAATTATTGTTATATACGTTTTTAAAATGTATTCTAAATAATACATTATAAAATTCCAGTCTTAAGTTGTTTTTTATTTACATTTTAAATCATCCATCCAACAGATAACGGGGACAAACAATTCAATAACCTTTGTGATTTAATTATTTTTTATTTTATATGTCACTATTTTTTTACTGTCAGTTCAATAGAAATCCAGGTATTTCTGAGAACCTTGATTTCATTAGTATGTATAATAATATCTAGTAATATATTAAGTATACAAAAATTATAATTATATATTCCAAATTCAGAAGTAACCTTTTAAATCCAAAAAGCTAAGCCACACGTGGATTTGTTGTTGACGCAATTTTTGAACATATAAATTTATAAAAATTCAATAAATTGTTGAGAAATAAAAACAGATCTATTATAAATCATATACTAAAATAAATATAAACATATTAATTCAATAAAATTAAAAGATAAATATATAATACATATTAAAAACTAAATACTTGTCATAAAATATATTAAAAAAGTACGCCATTGTGGCTAATAGTACCGTTCAGATATTTAAAATTAATTTTTTTAAGGTGTATTCAATATCCCATGGACATCCACTATAAATATATCAAAGTCTAAGCGCGGACGCAAACCATCGTGGATATCTACTAGATGTAATTTTTGATTTTGCTTCCTAAGTATAGATGGCGATACCACTTTCTTATCTACTCATGCTCAACCCGCCGTAAATGAGTTCGATCAATTTTTTTTTGACAATCAGACTCCATTAGAGACTGGAGTCGAGAATTTCCATTTATTGCTGAAGAGTTCTAATAAGGATGACTATTTCCTTAGTGCCCTTATAGTGGGCAAAATCAAAGGCAGATTGTTGGAAATATTTTTTATCTCTATTTTCTTTCGACGTTATTCCAATAATCATTGGATACTCTACTCTACTAAAAATACCTATAAAATATTTTGCTGAATATCTGAATTCTATATCCATATTGGATATCCACAAAATATATTCTGTGGATATCTCTGGGATTTCTTGTATTGTCTGGAAGATACTCATTAGATATTTTGCTGAATATCCATAGGATATCTTCTATATTCTGGATATAGACGGACATTTGGATATCCATATTAGATCCACGGAATATTTCTGATATCCTGTGGATATATTGGATATCCTCGAAAGATATTCTGTGGATATCTCTGGGATTTGGTGTGTTGTCTGGGTTTTGAAATTAGCTCCATAATAATATTGCTATGGCAAACAGAATCGACCTGAATGTGAAAAAACCAATATTACAGAAATCATAAGATAGTTTGCTGAAATTAAAGTTAGAAAAAAAATTTTTTAGGTAATGGTTTTTTTTTTCGGCTGACCCAATTTAAGTAGAGGTATTCGATGGAAAATGGTTTGAAAATGAGTTTATGTTAAAAAAAAAATAAAGTTTTTAGGTAATTTTTTTCTGTGGTTTCTTTTAGTATACCTATTTTTTAGACCTATATAAAAAAATTGTAGTAGTTAGGCTAGATAGGGGAGAAGCGCCAACTCAGGATTTTGCACACAGTGGAAAAATGCTAGAGGCGGCCCTGCGCCGAGCTTTTATAACTTTTTAGTTGGTTGGTATGTTGGCAATCAACAAAAATGTTAAGTGTTTATGTTGGCTGCGCTTGACGTATGTCAGCTGGTTGTCACTTTGATTAGAAATTTTCCAATTTTTTTTTGAAATGTTGACCTTTAAAAAATAAATAATCCTTACCTGTTAGAAATTTTTACCTACAAAATGCAAGTTGATTTTCCTTCTATAGATCCGAATGAGGACCTAACGCAGGTAAGTTATTTTTTAAACAATGACAAAAATTTGAGGCCCACCTATCTTGATAGCTGATCTAATAAAACATTTCATTTTTAATTAGATATTACCCATCCAACAGAAACGTACAATAGCGTTTGTTAATCATTTCATAATGAACACAGTGTCACATTTAAACAATTTTGCACAGTCTTGTGAGTCCCGTTTTATGGAATTCGATTATAAAATTCAGAGGATAGAAGCGTCTCTTTGCATACTAGAATCGCAAGTAAGTATATTGAAATTATATTTTTGTTCTACAAACTATCGAGACGGTATTTTTGGTGGCTGTTATTTTAAAAATTATAACATTTACAGCTTTCATCTATTTCTGGTTTAGATAATGTAGATAAAAATGTTGAGAATTTAGAAAATTCCGCGTCTAGCATTCAGGTAAATGTCGATCTTCCCGATATTAGTGACACAGGCCCGCAGCCTCCAGATAAAAATGGTGATTTGGAGGTATTGTCAGAACCTGTGGTGGGCCGAACATGAGGAGTCCACTGGGGTGAAAGCAAAAGATGATCCCAGATTTAAAAAGTTCTTTAAAATGGTACAATTTGGAGTTCCTGAACCTGCTGTTAAATTAAAAATGAAGAATGAAGGATTGGATCCTCTTATATTAGAGTAAGTTTACAATTATTTTAATCTGTACCCATTTTAAAAATTGTATTTATAATATACATGGAATGTATTGTGTTAAAACATAAAAGTTTAATATTGTTCAAAGAACCTATGGTTTCCTCATGGCAAATTGCTTTTGGTTGAATCTGCAGAATTTTAAATAAGTTGTAGTTTTTGACCTCATCATTACAAGTATAATGAGCCCAAAGTCTCCCATGACTAGTTTTTGAACTTGTGAATTTTTATAATTTCCAAAAATACTTTAATATATAAACGTTTTTTTGTTGATATTTATAAATATTAAAAGTTATGGTTTGATTATATAAGATATTTGTAACTACAAAAATACAATACCAAACTTTTTGGATAACACCTAGGTATATAGGGTAAGTAATTTTTTAAATTAAAGTAGAAAAACTGCATATTTAAAAAATAGCTTGTATATGGTAATGTGTTCCAAACAAGTAAAATATCACAGAGTTTTATATAACCAAAATTTTGGGTGTTTACAGTGATAGAATATAGCTTGGTACAGATTTAGATAAAAAACTTTCAGTGTATAATAATATACCTTTCTGTACTGAGATCTATATTTTGTCATTGTGAACCCCCTATTTTGGCCACAAGCTGCCACTAATATAACATCAACAAAAATATATACATAGATGGAGAAATAGACAATATAGAGTTATGTGAAAAATTGTAATTTATGTATATATCTACATAACTTTTACTCTCCCTTAATGTGATGTCGAAAGCATACATTTTTGTTGATGTAACATTGTACTTGTTTGGGACACATTACGATATACAGGATATATTAAAAATACCTCACTGAAACAACTTTTTGGCTCACCCCGTATATGTGTATATAAATAATCCATTTATAATCTATATATTAGGTGTTAAATGATTTTTTAAATATGCATTTTTTTCTACTTTAATTTAAATAATTAGTCACCCTATACAGTTATTCTTCAAAAATGATATTGTATTTTGGTAGTCATAAATATCTTACAATGTTTGTCTTAAGAAAAATCATGAGAATTCGCAAGTTCAACATATTTTATCTCTAAAACTGGTAAAAGTTTGTACCCATGGACACTAATAGGTCAAAATCTGCAACATATAAAATTCGGCAGATTCAACTGAAAGCCATTTGCATAAGGAAACTGCAGGGTCTTTTTATAACCTTTAGTAAATTAGAAATGAATTGCAAAACTTGCACATTAATTTTTACATCCATTTGACCATCTCATTTAAATTTATTTATCACAGCCAAATATACAGTGCTTCTCAAAAGTCCCCTACCCCTCTTTTCTTTTAAACGGTGATACTTAGACTGATGAAATTTGGAGGGTAGAAATGAACTATTGTAAGCTTCTCTACTAGTGGTAACAGGTAACGTCACCAGGCAACTAAAACCAATAATATTAAAAAAAATATCGTAAATAAAAAAAAATAGTATAACTGAATAGGTATTCTAAATACCTTTCAAACGAGATGTCACTTGCCATAAGGTCCCATTTAATATTATTGGTTTCAGTTGCCTGGTGTTGTCACCAATGCCTATTACGTCACCTGTTACCACTAGTAGATAAGCTTACAATAGTTCATTTTTACCCTCCTTTCATCAGTATAAGTACCACCGTTCAAAAGAAAAGAGGGGGGAGGGGACTTTTGAGAAGCACTGTATACCTGTGTGATAAATAACCATACATAGGGCTCAATTTATTCAAAAAATTGTGGACAACTTTCTAATAGTTGACAATATGTTTTAAGTTTATGGGTTGTACTTTTCCCATTGTTATAATTATATGTTTTAGAAACGATTATCAAACATTTTTTTATGCTTAACATTGAGCTTTTTTTATCTTTTATATCTTAAATGTTTTCTATACTCATTTGTATTTTTTCTGTTATTTCAGAAAACCTGATGACATAATACCTGGGTTACCAGAAGACATGCAATGAATCTGAAGAAAATCAGACTGATTAACTATTAATGAATATTAAGATATTGTACATTGTTATATTAAAAAATATATTTGTACACATTGTTTTATCGAATTTAAAAAATATATGTTTTCATAAAAGTTAATTTATTTCTTTTAATATTTGACAAATTAATGTAAGAGTCATTCCATTTAAAATCGTCTAATTGGCAAAGCTGACTCGTCTTAGATTTTGGTGTAACTTCGAGGAACTATTCCTTAGGGTCTCAAAGAAGAAAATTTGCACGAGTTTGATTTTTATAAGCACTCGTTTCCGACTATTTAAATAAAGACTTTTTAAAAAATCGATATTTTTAAGCCTTATCGACTTTTCTTCTGAAATTTTTCTTTTTGAATGTAACTACATTATTAAAGCGGAATTCTCAGGAGGAAAGATAGTAGTTTAAGTGTAAGCATCGATAATTTGCTCAGTCAATACCTCTGATTAACGGCAGCGTGCTGAAAATGAGTGTTTTTTAATCATTTTTCGTGAATTTCAATCGAATCTAGCGTCTTAACTGCTTAGACTTAGCAGCTTATGTTCCTCAGGAATTAAGTGTATATATCATAGGTAAAATACAGTCACAAGTCAACCTGAGCAGCCCACTCTTTGCAAAACAAAACTTGAAGTTTTGAAATTTTCAAAAATTGCATTATTCAGGTTATATAATGAAGGTGTTGACTGCCAGATAAAAATCTGAAACTCTCATTATCTACTGTTCTTACCTTTAAATGACCGTACCACTTGTTTTGTTATTTTTATGTTTAGTGCATGTGCAAGTCGTTTTTTTACAGCAAAAATCAACTCAATTTTTTTATTTTATAATCTTATAAATTCAGTTTTTCTTGATGTTTTATCGCAAGTACAGATTATATCTTACCTTTTTATCGAACTTTAGGTGTTTTAATATCTAACAGTTTCTAACTGGACGTTTTAACTATTGGATTGAAATGAATTACGAACAATAATAATTATAAATGTGAAAGAATTCCTAAAGTTTCAATCGAGTTAAGGACATATTAAGTGTAAAATTATCTTTAGAAATAATAATTATGAAAAATGACAGTAATTAATAACATTTTTAATTAGAAAATTATTTTTTATTCAAAGTTTTGGTATGACAACAACAATATCAAAATTATTAGAAGCTGAATACTTCCGCGCTTTTAATTGACTTTGAGAAATTGCTATAAAACTATCATACGATCTAGTATTTTTAATTGTATTTATATATCTTTCAGATAATAATGTTTCAAAAGCTTCTACGTCCTGGCTCGATACAAAAAAAAATTATACCAGAAATTTTATTAGAACATTGCTTCTGGAGTTAATATATGATGATCTGTAAGCTTGCTCTTCTTACGTCCCTTTTGATTGTACCGCCTGGACTTTTACCATGAGAAGTGGCAAAGAAATGCCACTCTGCCTGTAGTCCAAAATCCGCTTCATGATGACATAATATTAAAGTTTTTATTTTTGTATTGAGCAGCTGCTCCATCACTGAAGTAATAAATTTTCTTAAACTCCGGATAACTGTTTTTGATGTAATCAATAAAAATTTTTGGTAACGTGAAAAATGGTACTGTACTGTGAGTTAGATAATCGCTAATCACACAAAGTTTTTGCCTTAAGTAATCCGTCTTCTTTAAAATAAATTACAAAGGGATGTAAAGTAGCTTGATTATTTGTCCAATGATAAGATTGTACTTCATCTTGTACCATGAATGAATAATTTTTTGAGAAATCAACTAATGCTATACACTCTGAATTATCTTTTAAATTTTCTTTCAGGATTCTCAAGTAGTCTTGATTGTTTTTTGGAAATGAAATGATGAGATTTTAAAGCTGTCAATTGTATTTTCAAGTCATCTTTGAATTCATCAACGGTCTTGACTACAGTTATTAAATTACAGCGATCAGTAGAAACTCATTGTTTAAAATTAATTTCAGACGATAATTCACATTCGTCACATATATCAGAATCAGTAACATTAAATATAATTAATAGATATTTGCAATTACTTTTGAAAATTTTTTATTTACTTTTAAATGCGATAGAGTCAAATTATAAAGATAAGCTTACCTCTCTACACGCATACATAAAGATATATAAGAATCCTATGCATAAGTCGAAATTTTTTTTCAAAATAAAAGCATCTAGTTATTTGGAAAGAAATAAAAAATTGAGATGATTTTTGCTGTAAAAAAACGACTTGCACATGCACTAAACATAAAAATAACAAAACAAGTAGTACGGTCATTTAAAGTTAAATGTAAGAACAGTAGATTCTGAGAGTTTCAGATTTTTATCTGGCAGTCAACACCTTCATTATATAACCTGAATAATCCAATTTTTAAAAATTTCAAAACTTCAAGCAAAGTTTTTTTCTGCAAAGAGTGGGCTGTTCAGGTTGTATTTTATCTATAATATATACACTTAATTTCTGAGGAATATAAGCTGCTAAGTCTAAGCAGTTAAGACACTAGAGTACATTGAAATTCACGAAAAATGATCAAAAAACACTCATTTTCAGCACGCTGCCGTTAATCAGAGGTATTGACTGAGCAAATTATCGATGCTTACACTTGAACTATCTTTCCTCCTCAGAATTCCGCTTTAATAATGTAGAGTTATCTACAAAAAAAAAAAAAAATCCAGAGGAAAAGTCGATAAGGCTTAAAAATATTGATTTTTTAAGTCTTCATTTAAATAGGTGAAAAGGAGTGCTTATAAAAATCAAACTCATGTAAATTTTCTTCTTTGGGACCCTAAGGAATAGTTCCTCAAAGTTACACCACAATATAAAATGGATCGGCAACAATTTTTTTTATTTTCAGACTATTTTGTGTGGAATGACTCGTAATGGTAGGTACTAACTTTTAAATATAATGCACTAATATACGTTAAAAATTCAACAATTCACATCTGAACAATGTATTGTCCATTTCACAAAGATTTCTAAAAAAAAACTACTTTTTTGATTTATTAAATAATATATCAGAGTTTGGTTTCTCACAGTTGTCTGATGGAATTATATTTAAAAAATGTCTAGGATTCATGTAATTGTGTTGTTCCTGTCAGATCTTTGTATTTTGTCCTAAAAATTGATTTTTACACTACTAATTTTAATAAAGTTTTCCAAATACCATGTTTTTGTTTTAAATATAATAAATACACTGTTTTATTCTATTTTAAGCCTTTTTCTGAAAACATATTCATATTTACCTTCCATTTTTTTTATATATATTTTCTAGGTGGCTTTACTTACATTTTCCCTTACCTATTGTAATGTTATTCATAAAGGAAACACCAGTTTATATACAAACTTTTTATATTTTTCAGAGGTTATAACTTAAAAACAGTACAATTTTAACTTAGAACTGAATCATCTGTCCCTTACGTTTCTTGTCACCTCCTAGCTCAAAATGTTTGCATCTTTTAAGGGGAATTTGTTTCCTGAACTTGCAATCAGTACATTCCATCCTCAATACAATCTTTTTGGTAGTCTTAGCCTAAAAACGACATCCAAAATGTGTAAAGTAAAATATTTTAAAAGTGTGATTTATGGCATACCTTTTTACGGAAAATAGGTTTCGTTTGACCACCAAAACCTTGTTGTTTCCTGTCATAACGTCTTCTACCTTGGGAAGCATGACGTTCCTTCGATTTTTTGTATTGGGTTACTTTATGGGTCTTGTGGACTTTACATTTTTTGCAAAATGTACGACGTTGTTTTGGTACGTTAACCTAAAATATAAAGAAAACATATTCATTTAAAACATCGAATATTATCCTATAAAAGACTATAATTATCGAAAAACAGTAAAAAATTACTGTTAATTGTTGACATTCTAAAATACATAACCTAGGATCTTACAAAAAAAATATATTAATTACAAAATACAGGTTCTAATTATTACTCAAAGCCTCACTGAATTAATTTATATCAATACAAATTGAAATAATTAAGTAAGATCCATAGATGATAAAAGATTTAAACTTGAACTCACCATTTTCTATTATTTTGCTAGAAATGTCAACTTAAAAAGAGAAAAAGAAATATTAAACGGAAGTTGCGTCAAAAGTCAGAACAGCGCAAACGTCACTTTCCTTGCACGGCGCCAAATTCAAAATATGTTCTAGCCTCGTTCCTGTCTGCGCAATGGATACCAAAATTGTTTTTGTTGGCGCGAATAGAGGAGGTTAGGTTAACAACCCAATCATATAAAAGTAAACGAATTTTTCTAGGTCATCACGTGATTTGTACTTATTTTCTTCATTGGTAGTTTACAAAAATAATGATCAATTCAAAATATGTTTCTTTTAATTAGGTACACTTTGTTTAACAAGATTTATTTGTTTTGAAAACTATGAGTGATTTATTAATATAATAGTGGCAAGCTAGGTATATTTTTCTATCACTATGATGGCAAGCTAGAAATCTTCTAACAGTTTGTTGCCGCCATCTTGTCCACATTTAAAAATAATGATAGGATAGGTATTTTCCCAGATTACTCAGTTTGCTTTGGGTTTTTTTCTATTAATAATTGATTTGATTGGTCACGCAATCCTCTTTATTTATCATTTTTTATGACCATTGATTAATATTCAGTTGCTCAAGAAGTTAGCAACCAGCAACCTCAATCTCATAAACTGGTCAACCATCTTAATTTTTATTGAATCCAAAAGTAGGTACTTTAAGAATTTGAATAATTATTATCTTGATTTAAGAATGACTGTAATGCTGTTAAATTTGAAAAACAATCGGAATAAAACTTTGTCAAGTTGTTTATTCATTTTAGAAAGTCCATCAAAGCAAATAAAAATGTATAAAGGTAATTTAATAAAAATAATAAATGGACGATGTTATATTGTAAAAACTATCCTTGATCTTATAGATTTTATATGCGAGTTGGCTTTGAAAGCAGTGTATCACACCATCCCATTCTATTATTCGTTACGATAAAGTGCGCGTTCCCTTGAATAAATCGTAAACTGGGTGTTGATAGCGGTGATGCCAAGTCCGCGTTATAAAAATCTCAATGATTAGTAGAATGAATACAATCTTAAAACAAAATTTAATGCTTAAACTAAATATTAAACAAACTATCATTTATATTGCTTCAATATTTTATAATACCTAGTCTAATATAAATCTGAACTAAACAGTAATATTTATTATTTATTTATTTAATGATTTATCAATCAGATATTGATAACTTGGTTGCTAAGGAAAACGAGGACCACTTGGCAACACCGCGTTGGACGCTTTGAATTCAGTTAAAATTACAAAATACTACTGAAGTGGGGAGTGAAGATACCGCCATTATCCTTTCCCCTCTATGACCGACCATAATTTCTATCTGTCTCATTTTTATTAGAGAGAGATGTTTGGAATGACCTCGAAAAACAAGGGGCGAGGGAGGAGTGCGTGGCATTCTGAGAGAAGGGAAAGCGATGGAAAATGTGTAGGAATCGTTCTTAAAAATACCGTATTTTATTAAAACTCAGAATGTCCATTTAACAAAGTAACAGCTTGCTCATTCATTTCCAGTGAAATAGAGTAGCGTCATATTACGAGGGCAATTCAAAATGTACCTACATTTATTGATGTGTATCTATATTTATGTACCTTATTATCCTTTTTACGGACTAGGTAGGGTCATTTTGATTAGTTTTGGTTCTGTCCTATATATATTTTTTTTAAATTGATTAAGGTACATGTGATAATTTTGGTTATAGTATCTATTACAGGTCATCATTCAGGTAGGTACCTATCAACATCAACTGACGGTGAAACATCAATAAATATTAGTGTGACGTAATTTATGTTCCATTGACAGTTAACTTTTAACAAAAACAAACCATTATGTCATTAAATTTACATACGTAGATAGGGGAGAGGGTGGATGATTCGGCCAGTTTGTAGAAATGAACTGATAAAACCCATATTTCTTGTTAAATTTTGAGAGTTTGTATTGCTACATAATCTTTAGACATTTCTACGACTATTAAAAGCTAAAATAGTGACATAAACTTATATCCAAGATTATGTGCAATAAATATAAAAATGTTAACAATTTGGCCGAATCCTCCACCACCGGAGGTAGATTCGGCCAGCACCGAGGGAGGATTCGTCCTATGTATAATTAGTATAACAGATATGAATATTGGCTTAATATTTAGTACAAAAGTTGTATAACCTCAATTTAGCAAAAAAAAAGTATTTCTTGATAAGTATACATTGAAACAAAAGTATTGTAAAAACATATAAGCTTTAACGAATATCTAGGTATTCCTTGGAAATTATAACTGAATCAAAACAGTGATTGAGTTCGTGTAGTTCCAGCGTTTCGTGATTGTGCAAGCCTAGCCTCAATATCATTAACTTGCGTCATTGCTATATCATTAATACTCGGAAAGTAGAAGCTGGTTAAATTTCTCTTTCACCTTTTAAAATTTTCCTCATTTTTCTCCTAAATTCATGTTCACTCATTAGAGCCTACCTCTGGAACTATGACTTGTATTTTTTTGTTCCCAATTTTTGTCTCTCCGCTTGTTGAGCGACTTTGAACTTTTCGGTCTGAACATCAGATTGACCTATAGGGTCTGCGGGTTCTGTTGTACCATTTTTAGTTCTCTGAAGAACGATCTGTAGAGCCCGGGTTGGCACAGCAGAAACGCTTAAGCGATATTGTTTTGTTTTGACATTGAATTGAACTTTTTGGATTTCTCAAAAAAAAAAACAAAGTAAAACATAAATTACATTTCAAATTTGATCACCCTTTAAACATAACTTCCTTCTCCAAACACAACTAGGCATCGAGAGAGGCTTCCGCGGTGCCGTTTTTGTTTCTTTCCTAGAGCCAACGATGACACAACGGGATCTATTTAGCCCTAATCGCCGATGGAGACAAATAAATTTTGCATATCAAACATTCTTTTGTAAAATAGGAGCGTATTGCATTTTTTTTCATCTGTCAGTTTTGCGTTTATACTTTCGTGGCATCTACAAAATCGAACAAAAGATTTTTTAAATAATACTTATAATAGATATGGGGATGATTTCGGCCGTGGCCGAAACCTTCACCTGCCTAGGGGCCGAATCATCACCATTAGTCTATTTTCCAGTGCTACAGTGGAAACATGCCCAGTAATTAAAAAAAAAGTAGCGACTATCTTTTTGTTTCGACTTTTTTCACGAACAACTTTTTCTCAAAGGCCCAAACTGACGATTGTTGCTTTTTTTTGGGATCATATCAGTATACCCATGTTTCATTATCTGTGATGATGTTGAACAACAAATTAGACGATCCACGGTCAAAGCAATTTAGTGCAGATCTGTCTTCTTTTTGATCTAAAGTCAAGTTGTGGGGATCCACGATCCACCGAGAATACGAACTTCAAATAATGGTTTATGTAAAATAGTGTTAATAATTGCTTTCACACCCATCTTTAAAGTTGCTTGAATGTTTCCGATAGTAATGTGCCGGTCCTCTTTAATCATGTTCTAAATATGACCAATATTTTTTCTGACTGCCGTTTTTGGTTTAGAAACTCAAAAACTGTCATTTACCATCGTTTTACATTAGCGAAGGAACATGACTTGTCACTAAGCACTCGATTGATTTCCTCAAAACATTTTTTACGGTTTGAGACACGCTGCTTGAAATGTAAAAATTCACAGCCCGATAATGCTCATTGTTCATTAATTTCCATTACTTATTGGTGAAAGGATTATTTTAAACTTATGTAACTTACATAATCAGGTATATTTGTCAAAAATATCACTAACTAAACGAGTAAACAACTAGATTGAAATGTCAGACAAATTTTTTTGCAAAAATATCGTCTACTAGGTATAGGCCCAGCGGAAAGAGAACAGCCCTCGTATTTAACAAATGATACCGATAGTTCTGAATAATAGAACGTTGTTTTAAATTTTACAAGATTTTTATAATTTTGTTTTCAATTTAATAAAAGTGAAACTAAAAATATTTAGATTTTAATAAGTACCCTTTTATTTTATTATTAGGTAATAATTATAAGCTACCAAAATATTGTAGGTACGAGGCGGATATGATATGTCAAAATATGCGACTATAACTTACTTTCGTCACTAGAGACGAAAGTTAACGTTATCGGATTTTCTCCCACTAGTGACGGAAATTAAGTTTACGCTAAAAGTATTCTCTGTATCCGAAATTATGTATTTTCATAAGGAGTCGTAAAAAAAGTTATTTACGTCACAATAATGGTATTTTTAAAACTGCTTTGCGACATATTTAAATTGAAAAAATAAAAAGCATTGAAACCCTGTATGATTAATTATAACTCGCAATGAATTTGTTTTTGTTTGGTCTATTATAAGAACTTAAATGTTGAATGTACCTCTCCCTTTCACCCAAATATTAAAATACATGGTAACCTGGTTATTTTTAATTTTTAAACCAACGTGTGTAATGTTCTGCGTAGCTTTCAGGGGGTGCTATGATTGAACGTTTACGTTATCCGTAACGTACATGTTAGGCCGAGTTTTAACAGCAAAGAGACAAATTCGTATGATGTAAAGTCTTTCATAACACATTACTGTTAGTTTCCGCCTGTTATGTTCTAATTTAACAGGTTTCCATCATACAAACTTGCCTCGTTACTTTTAAAATTCGGCCTAACATATACGTTACGGATAACGTAAACGTTCAATCATAGGACCCAGGGAAAGTTAAGTTAAGACACGTGTTGTCTTTTTTGACTTCTTCAAATCTAATCTAATATGCACACGTAATAATATGACATAATTTCATATACATGCTTTCGCTACATATGCTACCAATTTGCTGCCTTTATCCCAACATGACACCCTAATATTTACCGAATTATAGCCATTAATAATTTTTGAATATTCATCTTGTAATACCCGGTATTTCGGAAACCCGTAATATTTTATCTAAGCGTCTTTATTTTTAATCAGAGGATCTTCGTTGTTCTGTGTTCCATTCTTAATGAGACACCTTGTATATTAATTATATAGGTGCTCTGTGTATATGCTTGCATAAGTAGGTACTATTTCTTTAACATATTTTACGATCATGCTATGAAAATAAACAACTGATGTTTCTTTAAAATAGGTAAGTAGTTAT